TTAGATTACTACACTTAATTACTTTTGCTACTTTCTTTTACTCTAGATAATAAACTATGTTGTGTTTTAAATTAAGACTAACTTATACTATTTATTACTTTTAGCGCTAGCTAACCTGCTTCTAGTGCGCCTAGATAAGCCCTACAACCTGCATAATAACTCTTATTACTTTCTTTTCTAAAATAACTACTAAAATAGCTTTAAACACTATGCTTTTAAAGTTAGCAATATACTTCTTTATGCTCTACTATTACTATAATCTCTTATTTAATACAGCTGCACTAGTTTTTCTCTAACTCTACTTTTAGCAAGCTAAGACCTACGCTGCTTCTGTAATATACTATTAAATTAGACTCTACGTAACTATATATTTATAGCTAAGGAAGTAATATTAAATAACACTTATCTATATAATAAAGTTTTAATAAATAAAAATAAAAAAAAGGCGCTTTTAGTTATAAGTGCTAAACTAGGTTAGCTGCTGTTATTATACTACATAGTAATATTAAGTAAAGATAAAGGATTTAATAGTATATATGCTAATAAAAACAACATATTTGCAGTTACAAGACATAATATAGCAGACAACTCTAATGTAGACAGCAGACATAGACCTGCAGGGCTAATAGAGACAGGCGCCTCCTTTGCAGACAAGACGCCTACAGAGACAGCAGTAACTACTGCTTGCCTATAAATGCGCTTATAATAGGCTACACATAATTAGAAAGCGCGCGCAGCCTATAATGTAACTTAGTTGTTTTTATCTTTTAAAGTAAGTCTTAGAAGAGTAGAGAGAGTGCTACTTTACTAAAAAGTAGTTAAATTTAATAATAAGTCTTTATTACTTTTTTTCTTTATATATTACTTAGGGAACTGTTGCTAATAGAGCGCACAAACACTATTTATAATACTACAAAAAAAGGCGTAGAAGCCTAGCCTATATATGTTAAGATATTACTACTGCAGTAGAACACTAGTATTAAAAAAGTGTTTTTAAGTAAACACTATACTAAACTTTATAGCATTTTAAGCTTTTCTAACTTTATAGGCTAGTTTTTATTAAAACTTAACTAGTATAAAAATAAATTTAGGTAGCAAAATAAAAACTTTATTAACTATAAATATAAAAAAACTAGGCCTTTATAATATGTTCTTATTATTAATGTAGATAGAAAGTGCTACTTTACTATATTTAACCTAGATTTGCTTAAAGGCAACTTTAGCCTTAGCCTTTAGTAAAGGCGTAGTTAGCTGCGTAACTAGACTTAGCTCTTAAGTATTTTTAACTAGAAATAGATTATAGCTAGTACAGCACTTTTTTAGTAGTAAAAGTAGACTTTAAGTTAACAAAATTATAAGCTTATTCTAGAAATACTAAAGAATAAACTTTTAGTAGCACTTTAACATAATTAGATCTAACTACTTAGGGCAGATACTCTTACGCAACTAGAGCTCTACTTTTAACTATTCTAGCACTATTAATATGCCTAGTAGTTTATAATAAGCTAACTAGACCTACTTCTATACATCTTAACTAGCTAATATTCCCTACCTTACCTAGTTTGTTACTGTCCCTACTAGTGTGCTAGTATAGTTAAAGTAATTGCCCTTAGACAAGTCTAACATAGTAGACATAGTATAAAGCATAAATAATAAACACTAACTTATTTTATATTAACTTTTTTTTTTTTACTAGCTTACTAACTTTATAACTGCTTTAATCTAAAGCAGTCTACTAGCCCTCTCCTAAGGCAGTTAAAGGCATAATATAAAATAAATAGTATAGTAGTTGCATGTTATCTAGGTCTTTTTACTTTATAACTAAACTACTAGATTAAGTCTTTAATATTATCTGTAATTAAAATTAACTACTAATAGACACACTAGATATTAGACAGATCTATACCTATTCTAAGCGCAGTTGTAGTAATAGTAACTTAGATTAAAGACTTGTCCTTTAAAAAATTAGCATATATTTAAGCTTAGTTAAACTTTAATATGTGCCTTATATATACTACTAACACTAATTAAATATCTGTAAGTAGACAGCTTTTTTTTAGAAGTTAACTTTAAAAAAGCTAGGCTAAAGTAGTAATTTTATTTCTTTTATCTAGAAATATAATTATTTTTAGAATGTATAAAAAGATAATTTGTAATGTTTCTATATTAATTTCTATATCTATATAGTTTAGAAGCTAGTTATATAACGTCTAGCAGCTAGTTAGGATTAGGACAATCCTAATAGTAATCTCTAGCCTGTTAATAAAGGTGCGTATAATTTTTAGCTACATAGAAGTGTTATTATTACTAGTTGCTAGCGCTTAAAAACATCTACTTTTAAGAAGCTAGGCCTTAGTTGCAGCATCTAAAGTTACTATACATATAAAGAAGAGAGTTATAAAACACATTATCTAATAAAGCTTATAAAACTAGATATATGCTGTTTAAAATTTACACTACTGCTAAATAACATAGCACTTATTAATTATAACTAGTTAGACTTAGTCTATAAAGCTGCTTATAAAAAAAAGATAATAAAACACTAAAAAGATTGCCTACTTAGGGCTAAAAAAGATATATGTATAACATTTTTTAAAAATTTTACTAAAGAGTTTAGAATTAAAATCCTTTATTTTTATAGTAATAAAGCATAAATAAGCTTTAAAATATTTTATAATCTTTTTTTTTTACTTTTTTTTAAGCTTTAATAATAGGATAATCTAAAGTGTTATATACTCTATTATTACTAAATACATATATAGTGTAATACTCTTACTAAACCTAGTCTTTGCAACTAGAATTATATTACCTAAACTAAAGATAAGGCGTTAGACAACATAGACCTACTTAGTATATAGTTTCCTCTTACTAAGTAAAAAAAAAAAAGTATTTTAAATAAAGGGCTTTTATAAGCTAACACTATATAGTTTCTAACATTAAACTGTAACTATATAAATAGTTATAAAGATATTATTATCTTTATTAAATAAAAGAATATGTGTAATCTTTTTTTATACAGCTTAGATTCTTATTAGTATAGCGCTTTTTAGTGTTCTAGTAAAGGACCTAGAGTCTTATTAACAAGGTGCCTAGCAACACTTAATAAGTAATACTTAATTATAATAGGCGCACTTTTTACTATAATTTACTAAACTAGGTAACACTTATGCATCTACTAAATAACTTAATTATAGATTAGGACTATTCTGCTTGTACTATATATTACTATTTTAAATCTGTGCAGCAGCCTTTAAACCTAGCATGCTTTATTTAAGACAGAGAGCGTGTTCTAAAGGCTAAATTAAAGTAGGTTAGTTAATCTTAGCTATTATTAATAGTTAAACGCAAGTAGATAGACTAGTAAAAAACAGAGTTAAGAAGAACAGTTACGCGTTAGAATGTGTGTAATGCTAAGCCTATAATTTTTATAGTTAAAATGTTAAAAATTTATTTAAAAATAGTTTAAAGTAAATTATATATACTCTTTAAGTAATTAATTTTAATTATAGGCGCTGTAATAAGCTATGTATAATAGTATCTTATATAGAAGTTTCTAGTAAGTTAATAGACAAAGCTTTGCACATGTTGCGCTGCACTAAAGTCCCTTAGACGGCAGCTAAGAAGGAAGAAGCCCTAGCAGGGGTCTGAAAGTATCTATACTATTTGTGTACTAGTGTCTTCTTGGCATGCCGTCTGAGCTAGCTGAGATAAAAGGGGGGTTAATGATTATCTCACGAGTCAGCCGCCCCATAGATGATTTTGCGCTAATACCATTTTGGATTAGACGAAACTTCTGAACCTTCTGAGCTAATTTAAACTTCTGGGTCTTCTGGGCCAATTAGAGGCTGATTACTAACGACGCGCAAAATCATCTGCGGAGCGGACGGAATTGCCCCTCTCCTGTTTGGTGCGTTCTGATTGGTTTAGAAGTTCCTAGAAGTTCTCAGAAGTTTTGATTGGCTCAGAAGTTTCAGAAGTCCTGTCTATTCCTAAATAAGTCAAGTGTTTTCGTAACTGTCCAGTCTCTCACCTTCTATAATCTAACTCCTTTCAGGTATGACAACTCGAAGTGAAGATATAACTCCACGAGACGTGGACAGATACCGAAAGGCATTTGGGACGAAATACCTTGGACCAGCGTTCGACGCTTTTGGCACAGCAAGGTTACCGATAAGGCTACTCTGTTAGTCGACCATAATTATCACCACATAGCTATCCTAGCTCGGCCAAACACTTTCTAGTGACTATATTTGCGGAATATATTTCCAGCAACTGCATTACACGGAAGACATTTTCGATCCTTATAATTGCTTGATATTGTAGAAACATAGTATGATGCTGTTGGACCCGACCTATGTTCGAGCTCTGGTTTGTTCGTATCTAGAAACAAGTTTGCTCTAGAAACCTAATGAAGAACAGCTTACAGGAGTCACGCCGATAATTGCGACTTTCGCCCTGCCTTCCACTAGACGTATTCCAAAGGAGTCCTGTCTTAACTCTCTCCTTTGCTTATTCCCCACGGGTTGACTCAAGGCAGCAGATTTTTATACTCTCCTTTAATCTCTAAGCGCCGCAATAGATGTTGTGTTGTTTCGATTTAGCTCTACTACCGCGGCTTGGTTGCTCGTATGTAAAGTACACCCTTTCCCATCGCGCGCCAAGTTAGTCCTCGCAGCCGTAGCGATATGCACAATGCCCATTGTTCACCCACCGTATAGCCAATGCTGACAATCATGCGAGGTTTCTCGCATTGACGCTGGGGTTTTCGCGTCGCGATGATGATCACCAGTTCCGATGCTACATCGTCCTACATACATAACCAACGAATCACCATATTAACTAAGATCGAGCTCTCTCGAACAAGGTTCAAGAGTGAATCGCGGGATAAATAGTTCTAGAGGACATGCAATTGTGATAGTAGGTAAGGCGCATCGGCCATAGTACTACCTTTAATCTTCTTCCTTCATTCTGCCAAGCCGTTTCACGGTTGGGCAAAGCACTCAGCTGTATAAATCCATCCCAACACTATAGAACCGCACCCAATCGTCCGTGCCCGCCTTATCGAACTGAATGCACACCGTGATATTTATCCCGTACATCATTGTTGGAGGTCCGCCATTTCTGCATGGGATCTTGTAGCGAATATTATCCACGTTTGGAAGCTTCAGATCCACATCCGGCCACCGGAGACCGAACAGCTCTCGTTCCCCATCATAGACATAGATCAGACTGACGCGTGCAGTCCCAGAGGTTTGCAGGCGAACTGTAGCGAAACTCGGGTAGAACTTTCTTCCATTTTGCAAAGTAGGTGTCGGAACCGCGAAAGTAAATCTTTCATGGAGTCTTGAAGTGTCTTCTCCAGTAGGGCGATAGAAGATCCCGTCGATTTGGTGTTTCGCGGCCGTTGGGTGGTTTTCTGCGTTTCCGGCGCTGGCATGTGTCCAGAAAGGTTGTTTGAGCGACATTGCCTCGAGGTGAAATAGAGGGTAAAGCTACGGATTACTTTGCGTGTGGCTTAGGCCAATGCGGCGCGACGGACCATCTCTATATTGGAATATGCACGTGGTGGCTGGGAGCTGAAAGAGAGCTGAGAATGAACTGAGAAACCTTGGGCATTACTACCACAAGGCAGCATTTTTGTATGGATCTCAAGGTAATCACTATATTCCATGGCCTTCCAACCGCCGATATAGAATGCTCATACTGCAGAAGCGCGAACTCCAGATCACCCGAAGGAACCATCGTCTGCACCCCCAGGAATTCGCCATGACAAGAGGAATACACAGGAATAGGCTCTAACATACAGCCATTAGGTCGAATCACTCTTGGCCGCCTTTCCTCCACTATCCTCTTACACATCACAGTTTGGACAACGACAGCACTTTGGGCACTATTGTACTCAACATTTTCAACTAAGATCCGCTTCCTCCTAAGCCATCTCCACTCCCGCACCCCCGCCCCAGCACTGCCCCTGATTGCGTTTGGGGTGAAGGAGCTAGAATCAATTTATCACATAATGAGGAGCAAATGGAGGACGGCTTTACCCCTTCACATTGGCAGTGGACACCCTATCAACCTAGAGCCTGTCTGTTTAGAGAAAGTCGCTGACGGCCCACACTCAGAAAGAGGCAATGGACGTGATAAGCTTCTGGATTGGAGGGAGGCAATGCCTTTACCACTTGTCGGTCAATCTCTTTATCATTGCGACTAGGGCATCATTGAAGGGCCATCCACGGAAATACGGTTGGATGTTATAAAGGCATCCTACGCCGCTCTCGTTAACTCATTTTAGGCATTCATCAAGATTTCTCATCTCAAATTCATCGTGAACGTCTTGCGGCGTAGTTAGATTTTAACGAAGTCTTTGCATACGTACCCACGCTTATAGGAACCTCTCCAAAGACCTCACAAATTCCACTTCCTGTGACTGCATGACGAATTCGGCCACATTCTATTTATCAAGATCCATAAATGGCTTACCTTATGCCATAGGCCTCTGAACATGATCTTCAAGCTAGAAAAGATGCATAATATGAGGACTATCAGCGAGCTCCAACGAAAGAAACCATCAGAACAAATGGAGGCAAGGCACACACAGGCCTGGCAGTCCAATATCTTCAGCTATTCTGGAGGGTAGATCTATGGAAGGATATGCTAAAGAGCGGTCTAGAAGTGATAGTGGCTCAGGGGTGATGCCAAGTAGGCTAAGTTCCAACAATTTCAATATTATGCAGTTAAGTAGATAAGCGAGCTTGATAAGTGATAAGTATACTTTGGTATTTCACCATAGCAGGGATTCGAGAATAAAATATATCAGTATGACTACCTTTAAGCTTATGAGAAGTATCATCAGGGTGAACAAACGCTTTAATCACGCTTGCAGGGAGGGCGGCCGACCAGCTCAGCCGCACCCTGGCTGCAAACAGGTTGAAAACGCCTCCTGAGAGCAATACTTTGGTCATTATTGTGTCTGGTGAGTTAACTCGCGAAAGCAGTAGTTTAGATAGTTTCTGTGTTCTTCAAACAGCAGGGCTACGCGGTATCACCCTAAGGCTAATGTAGCAAAGTCCGGGCTGGCACCGGGTAAAATTCCACAGCTTTTAAGCTGATTGCATGGCAATGTAGAAAACTAGCAGCGAACCAATCCCGCTTCTCGGTTTACTTGGGTTTTGCGAAGTAAAAATCAATTTCGAGAGCCTTGAGAGCAAGTACCCTCATGAAGACTGCCAAAACATGTCATTGCGGGTTCCACAAAGCGGGCTGAGGAGTCATGCTAGTCTGGTCGATGGTGTTAAACTCTTGTTACCCGAGAGGGTTAAGGTGATATTGCACCCCGCTATCACAACAGGCGGGGAGATTGACGCCCACAGCAGATAGTTGGAAAGGAGTAGGGCAGAGAAACAAATATCTTAAAATGCTTCAAGTTCCCAATCAATCATACATTAAGGTGTGAGAAAATGAAGGGCCATTTACATAGACACTATTATATAGTGAGATCCTTCGTGACCTTTAAAGGGGTTAATGTCGCTTTTCTTCAACGTGTAAGGCATCGCACTGCGCCATTCGTCGCCCGAGCAATTCCAACGGTCGGCCCTAGTCGGTGATGTGGAAGGGAAACTTTGAAGAGGGTACGGTACTAAAGCGATATGGAGTATTCTTTCAAGATAAGACAGGAGAGTTATGAAAGGGTTTGGAGTCATGATACGTCGAAGAATGAACCGCGCGTATTAGGACTAGCTCCTCGGCATGTCGCGGCTCAACACAGCCACATATCCCCCTCCTCCTTTTACACATCACTTTTCCGTTCCGTTCATCCGTATAACTCAAGGAACATCTATGAGTAATCCCATCATTGCAAGAAGCATTGAAAGAGATGTCTCACCCAAATTCCACGACTTAGAGGGCGAAGGACCCAAGCCGCTCAGCGTGATCGACGACACATTCACACGATGCAGCGCCAGCACTTCGACCCCTTCGACACTGTCAAATACTTTTGGAGTACACTTGGACTCCCCCAAATCGCCTTGGAGTCACTTGATCTTCCCCATGATGGCGAATATTACTCTTCCTCGTTCAAAGTGGACCACCTTGCCCAAAGTAGCATCGCCTTCTCTGCGCTTGCTGCCGCGCTCTACTGGTCTACCCGACACCAGGTCCCAGTACCAAAGGTTACGGTTCCTCTCGGACACGCATGCACAGAATTCAAATCAGAACGACTACATGTTTTGAACGGAAAACCAGCACCCTCAACATGGGGAACAATAGGTGGGTTACATAAGACCGCCGATGGATACATAAAAATGCATGACATCTTCCCAAACCATCGAACCAACGCGCTTGCGATCTTGGGACTCCGCGAAGATGCCACAAGAGAAGATGTTGCAACCAAGATGTTGGAATGGAAGTCCGTTGAGCTCGAATCCGAGGCGTTCCGAAGGGGCGCAGTCATTGCTGCCTTGCGATCCTTCGAAGAATGGGACCAACTTCCCCAATCCAAAGCAATAGGGGACTTCCCTATTTTATTGAAACGAATCACCGACACGCAACCATTTATTCCTCCACCACCGGCGTTAAAGAATGACAAATGCCTTCGAGGAGTTCGAGTAGTGGAGATGAGTCGAGTTATTGCGGCGCCCGTGGCTGGGAAGACTCTTGCAGCGCATGGTGCAGAAGTCATCTGGGTCACTTCGCCCACTTTGCCCGATCTTCCTGACCTGGATAGAGATCTTGGACGGGGGAAGCGTACTGTGCTGCTCGACATCAAGCGGTCTGACGACAAATCCAAGCTTCTCGAGCTCATTCGAACGGCAGACGTCTTTATTCAAGGTTACAGACCTGGCAGCCTAGCTAAGCAGGGCTTTTCATCTGAGGACCTAATCCGGACGAATCCGAACCTAATAATAGCTAGCTTATCTGCATATGGGCCTGACGGACCTTGGTCCGAAAATCGCGGTTTCGATTCCCTTGTTCAAACCTGCTCTGGCATCAATGTCGCGGATGCCGAGCGCTACGGTGCGGATGAAGTAGTCCGTACTTTGCCGTGCCAGGCTTTTGATCATGGCGCTGGTTATCTTCTGGCTGCTGGTATCATGGCAGCTCTGTACAAAGGAAGAATCGAAGGTGGCGCTTACGAAGTCGAGGTCTCATTAGCTGGTATCATGAAATACCTTCGGTCTTTGGGGCAATATCCTGATAAATCTGGATACGGTCGACAGAATTTCGAAGGACCTAAAGAGGTAGAGAGATATTTAGAAACACGCATGACAGGATTTGGTGAACTGAAAGCTGTCAAACATTCTGCTTCTATCGAGGGATTAAAGACCGGTTGGGATATCATGCCAAAACCCCTTGGTAGCGATGAACCGAAGTGGGTCTATTAAGATCTGCTCCACATTGATCATGCCAAAGCATTGATATCTTGTTCCCGGTTCAGCAACTGTCTCAGTTAAGCTCAACCAAGATCACCCCACTCGTCTCCTACCCATACATCTTCCCTTCAGCTCATCCCTTCTTTAACGCTTGTGTGATGACCGCCATCTCCGGCGCATCAATCCATCTATGGAAGGGCTCTTTCCCCATGTCATCTGTTCCTCCAACTGTCCACCTAGGAGGCATTTCGAACCCCATTTCGGTCGCTGCACGCGTAAGGCGCTCCTCTAACATGTTTCTCTCCTCGACTGCCTTAGAGCTCGCTTCTCCTTTTTGCAGGTCCTTTTTTTCGTGAGTTTTAGACTTTTCGTCCGGTGCCGACGGGTTTGAGTCACTGGGAAGCAGCACCGGAGCAGCTGTGCTATTTGGGGGGTGTCTTGGTGTGATGCTTCTAACCGAGCTATCGTTAGCTATATCTCTACCCAGTCACTACTGTCGAGGATGCCTTACGGAGCCTGCGTTGCACAGGTGCATGTACATCTTAATCGCGATGACATGTTCTCAACTAGTTTGTAAGGATGAGCAATAATAACCAATTGCTACAAGACGCTGCTGAAAATGATGTAGGGCTATGTGCTTGCACTCTGCTGAGACTTATGCCGCTTTTATGGGCCCCACGCTTCCTACGAATCCCTCCCTCCGAGATATATAGGCCCAGCTTATCGTATCCATAATGGGCTGTGGCTGGCAGCACACGTACATTTGAGAGCAAAAGGACCCTGTTCGGTACTGTTCCATGCATCAAAGCTGTGTTTAAGTTTCCATGGTCAATGCCATTGTGGTGCAAAAACCGACTTCTCGGCTAATAAATACACTACTACACAATTCATGTCCTCACGTGTCTTCAGCCTCAGTTTACGGGAACTGGAGCTCCGCGAGAAGCGAAAAGTAAAAAGCAACTCTCACCCCCACTCTTCTCTCCCTGCAACATTTATTTTGATGCAAAGCCTCGTGCAACGTTCGCCAGCCAAGTCCAATGAAACACGGAGAGCGGTGCGGACGGGACGCAGGGGTTATCCAAAATGTGCGACACGAAGCGGAAGTGGCTGGAGCAGACTGCGATAAGAGTGCTAAGGCTCACCGGTGCACCCACGCGCCGTTCAAAACGTGCAATTTTTGGTTTTGTCCTTCGAATTTCACCATAGCCACGCTTCTTGCGGAATATATTCGTGGACGATACTTATTCTTTTTTAATGAGAGGTCCTGGTGAGAACGATTGCAAGCATTTTCCATTCCCATCCTCCCTTTCGCCGGTTGCATAGCATTTTGAGCATGACGAAAAATTGGGACGAGGTTCACGAAATCATTCGAAAACTCTATGTGATCGAAGGGAGACCTCTCTCCGAAGTTCGGAAAGTCCTTCAGGCAGACCATGGATTCTACGCGCAGTAAGCACGGCCTGGTCTACGTCTAAACGAAAACAAGGAGGGACTCATCGAATGACTTCTCTTTTAGTGAACGTTCGTTTCGAATCAAGCTTAGCGATTGGCATTTTACACGAGCATCGCGGCGATCCACAAACTCAAGGTTTGTACAAAATACTTCATATTGTACTTGCCTAGGCCACGTTTTGACCTTAGTAGGCCTTCAACTGCCGGATCCCCGTCTCGTACACTTACGAACTGGAGCGATTGCCTGAGAACAGCGATCGAGCACAATCGATCTTATGAACTCAACATGATCTTAGAAGGCACATCGAGCCGGCCCATGCTACTCGATGATGGAATGCCACCTATTCACTATGCGGCAACCTGTGGTTCGTCGCAGCTCGTCTTCCAGGCCCTCCTAGACCATAGGGCAGACATCAATGAACTTTATTTCCACGATGGTCAAAAGCGCAGTGTCCTTCAGGCTATCCTTTTGAAACGTTTGAAAACACTCCGCTCATCCAGGGTATGCAAGAACATCCACAGAAGTGCGTCGTATCTCATCTCTCGGGGTGCAAAACTCCATCCAGGCGGTACTGGGGAACGTCCGGCTTTTGACATGCTCATCGATCCATGGCGGACAGACCCAGAGTGGTATCTCACCGGTAAAGAAGACGAGTGGTCCTGTTTAGGCTCGTTCCTATCCAATGGTGCGATTATTCAAACTCCATTTCAGTCTCGACGGTGTCTCCTGCAAAACGCGCAGACTTTCCAACACGTCGTTCTATGCCATACCGACAATGACACTGCTCGTTTTATCATCAATCATGCCACAGTATTCCATGAAGGCAACGGTTCTTCTCTCCTTTCAGAGCTCGTCAAGGGATGTCAAAATCTGCATTCACCCAATTCCGGTCTGGCCCCAGAACTTCTTCAGGCTTTGTTGGACAAAGGCGCTGACCCCAATGCGTTGGATGATGCTGGTCGAACTCCACTCATGAATCTTCTACGTCGCGAAGCCCCTATACAACCGGAAATTCTTCTTGAAAATCTCGCTCGTCTTGTGAAGAGCGGAGCGGACCCCTTCAAAGCTTGCTCGAGTGGAGAAACGCCAATTATGTGCCTTCGCAACCACAACATTGCTGGTGCTTTGGGGTTGGAAATTGCTGATATACTTCTTACAGGATTAGACGGCACACATCTTTCGTGGACTGCCTCATACTTTCCAATAACTAATGAGTGGGAGAAGTACCTGGGAAACACTCCATTTTGGGATGCAGTCCACGAAAACTTGCCAGAAAACATCGCGAATGGCTTTGCGAAAGCAGCTCTTAGTGTGTCAACCTGGCTGTACTTAGAAAAATATTTCCCTGCTGCAGAGTCACCAGACCAGACGTGGGAAATCCTCGAGGTGTTGAAGCTTCGAGAGGCAGAACAATTTCTGCACTATGAAATTTCGGAGAAGTCTGTCATGAAGCTCATGGGGAATCTAATGATCAGGATGGAGCGAGATGCAATGGTTGACCTCAAGTACGGAATGATATCGGGCCAATTACAGCAAAATCCTCTTCAGCCGTTGCCATCAGCCTTCACTGGTGGAGTCTTTCAGGATTCCGATATGACCTACATGTGCCCCATATGCCCAGCGATTCCTGGCGTCTATCTGGAGAATTGGCAGCTCAAGTATGAGACCTAATCTTTATGTTTAAACCTCATACTAATGCATGAATCAGAGATCATTACGAGCAGCACGACCATCCTTTCGTTTGTGGTCAACGGCATTGTGAAAAGAGATTCAAGTCTCAAGAGGAGCTAGATGATCACGATGTCACTCACCACTGGCATCTGTGCGACTATACTCTGTGTGGCAAGAGGTTCAAGGCACAATCCGAGCTCGAGCAGCACAAACAAGAATTGCAGCACAGGTTTTCTTGGGAGGACGAAGCTGGATTACATAAATCTAGGCCAAAGAGAAATCCATCTACAACGCTTAGGCCATTGCCCTATCTTAAGCTCTCCTATCCTGATGGTGGACTGCCTTGGTCTCCCAACCACCTCTCCATAGGCGACTTCCCAGAGTTCCCGGAGGCCCCTGGTGTTTGAGATCTTTTACCAGTCTCATTCCCCTTTGCACTCTCAGTGGCAGATCCTTGATGAGTCGTGAGATTTGTCTCCGTTAGAGCATGGCTATCGCCCCTGCTCGAGCCTACAGTCGTACTCTGTGTAGGTTGTGACGGTTGAATGGGTAACGTCGTCGGGTAGGCTTGATGGACTTCTCGAATTTGACCGTGTCTGTAAGTTGCAAGATATGCTCTGTCAGCTCTCTATTCATCCTAGTTATTTTGTAAATGTAACATACCGGCTGATGTAGACGTAGCTTGATGACTGGTTTTGGCCTTGATTTGCCATTTTTTTAAGTTTCTCGTGGATCTCTTTCTAGGTGCATGTAACTGTAAATTTCCCTCAGCGTGGAGTACCAACCGTTGCAGACTTTCGGCTTTTCTTATACCTCATAGCCAAGACAACAGTCTTAGAGACAATAGGCAAACCTCTCTCCCTAATCCCAGATACGCAAGTCGTCTTGATAGCCAAGACAACAACTATAGAGACGGCAGTTAAACTCCATCCCTAATTCCGGTTTCACAGTCCTATCTCCATCTTCAACCAGCGAACCAAACGGCTTCATTCCCAACTACGCTCTCACGTGTGCTACATTCAGCGTGTACCACTGTTCGACATCCGGGAAGACGGCCCGGTATGTCCGCCTGCTGACATCTCGCATCACATGTCATTTTCGCCTCACTTTTCTTCCGCATCAAGACGACCATGGAGTTTCTTGCCCACCTTGGGAATGGAGTGCCGCGAGAATCGCCCATTGGCCTGAGAGACCCCAGATTCAAGTGGTCTGAGCGGGGTTTCAAGCGTTTCGGTTCGGCAGCCCTCCGCCCGGATGCTTCGCACCCCTGCGGACGATCACTCTGGCATATCTTCGGGATATACTGTGCATGTCACTCGATTGGATAATGTTTCCGAGAGACTGGAGAACGGGCAGATGCCGGGTGGGGCCAGCAGACGGAGGCGATATACGGAACATGATGTTTATTTTTCAATTACGAACCATTCTTTTACTTCCTCTTCCTCTCGCATACGGTAAACATTATATATGCGCTGCATTGGGCGAGATCAAGGATTGAAATGCAACTGAGGATATTGAAGAGCTGATCAGAAGGCCAGCAGGAGTATATGTCACTTTTCGCATTGCGAATAATACATGCTAAACTAGATGCTATCATTCGAATAGCCGGGAAATGCATCATCATACCGCAATAGAAAACGTCGTCAACGGAGCCCTCGATATCGGCTGGGCGGACACCAATATCCCACTTCCGATGAGCCCGGAGCACCGAATCAGGGGCACGACCCAATAATTGTATTGATTCCGCTCCTATCCTTCTTCGAGGGTCTAATATTGACTGGCCACCACCCGTCAATACCTCAAGGCCATTATCTCAATGGAACTTCTACTGTCTATCCTCCTAGTCCTCAGATCGTGCGCCCATAGGCTCCATTCCCGACTCTCGAAGAGTTGGGTCGGAAGGAGGTATCCACATCGTGGTATTTTTCGTAAAAATCCTTTCGATACGCAGCAGCGTTATTATCGACCGAACTCGGGCAGTTGGATCTAGTGCTACTTCGACCTTTTATCTTCGATTTAACGATATTGAAGAGCTATGACTTGCGATGGGTCACACTTAGCGCAAGTTCCTCCATAAAAGCTCCGAAGCAACTTTCTCCTCTCGTTTACAACAAATCCATTCGGCGGTATTGGGTTACGGTGGGAGCAATACTCTCTCATATTATAAGATGGCCAAGGGTCCTCAGACCAACGCGCCCAAGTTTCTATCGCCAGGCTTGCCGTCGCTAGATCATCAATCCCCATCCTTCATTAAAACAGCATCATGTGCTCCAAGGTCCAGAAAACCTCGCCGAGTCTCTTCAGATTCCCCCATAAACTGCACGCCAAGACCATGGAAATATCCGTGCTCGGTCTATACGTGCCCCTGGTACCACGCGCTTGTCGACTTTGACCTACAAAAGACTGTTTAAGGTCCTATAACGATATTTTGAAGGTTAGGCCTACTTCGCCATTGTTGTTTCGATGATACCGAAGAAGGTTCGTCATGAGCGATTGTTCAGCTAAAGTTGAGAGAGAAACGATCAGCTCACCCTCATAATCGTTTGGAAAGTTACTTGATAACCCACATGAGTAAAAGAGTGGACACTCCGAGGCGGCTTTCTAGAGCAACTGCTAAACACACTTTATCCGTATGAAAACCTCGAAGGGAACGATAGAAGAACCAGTGGGCAATCGCTATGGAAAGTAGGAGGCGATCTTGTGATGTCGAGTGTTTCCAAGACCTTTCGTACAACATTAGCATTCTATATTCCGGAAAGAACCACATGAAAAGGGGTGTTCTGATCTGACGCAGTCTCAATCCCTCTTTACCATCCCACATAACTGAAGCCAACGCAGGTGGATGACGAACGGAAATGAGGCCTGGGTTACATTTAATGGGGCCAATATAAATCATTCAACCGAGGCAAGGAGAAGGTCTTATGGCCTTGCATGCAGGAACAAGAAGGCAACTGGTACACAGCGTCATTACAGCATCCTTTACCTACCATAAAGGCGCATGGGCCGCGAAGTGTAACACACTGAACATCCATGATGCAAGAGATGCAGGTGTTCTCCGAATCCAGCCCAAGTTCATCTAAGGCTACAGCACATGATTGGTTGTTGAGACCAAATCATCGGAATCCCAAACAAGCGTATCAAGGTAAACCTCCGATGTAAATGCAGCCAAAGGAAACAACGGATGACAAAAGGGATAGGAATCCCCGGGCCCCAGGTCCGCAGCCGCGAGTTAGAGAGTCCCTAAACCTTGCCGTAGCCACCTTGGGCTGAGGTTCTAGTTGCGAGAATATGAGGCACGGACGGTGAGATCTACGACATCCCCATTTTATCATCGAGGGCTCAAAATGCCATGGTGCTATATGATCTTTGGTATATGCTTCGGGGCATAGGAAGTTCGCATCAGTGACCAAGCACTAGAGTTACTTTAATCAAAGGCTCTGAGAACCGCCGTTCATACCTAATGGTTTTAGTACGGAATAAAGAACGAAAGGTTCTTAAAAAAACGTATTGTCGAACGACGGTGCGGAGTAAAAGTGGTTCATCGCCCCCGACACCCCAGAATGTCAAACCTCAGCCTTGCACATCTTCAAAGCCTTGCATCTTCAGCAGAAGACTTCAAGAAACTCTATCGACCCAGAAATGCGAAGAATCAGGCTAAAGTTCCACCGACGCAAATCGGTGAGATGTTTGAAACGTGGCGCAATGCGGTCATCCTGAGCCCGATGGAGTGTCACCGCCGATGCCGACAAGGTTCGGGCCCGTGCGCATAGTGGGGGGCTTTCGGGGGCTATTTGGATACACGCAGTTTCCCAGAGTTTAGAGACATGTTATTACAACTTTATTTTAGGTTTGCAACGCCGTCTCATGTTACATTGCGACGGTAGACTTTCTAGAATCCCGAAAGGGTCTTTCAATCTTCTGTAATAGTTGCCTTGAAGGATCCTTGAGTCCCGTAGCTAACTGTAAGACAGCAGTTGTTCAGTCTTCGAGATTCATGGCATCCGAATTGTTGCCACGTTCCCTGTATGTTTCCTTCAACCAACCATTACTCTTTCTGCACTTGCTGCATCAATTTTCAACCCTCTCTCAGATTATGTGCCGACCAAGGATCTTCATTTCCAGATATAGAGCACTTCTTCGCGACATGAGAAGTTGCATGCGTCGTTTTCGGTCTCGATCCACTATTGGGAAGTTGTTCCGCCTGTGTAAGCCATTCACTTTGAGGCGTGGAAGGCTGCCCCACAAACTGGGATCCAATTCCGTGGAGGTCCTTCATCAGCGACGATGGGTTGCTTCCTCGGCCTGGGCCACCACGAGGTTGCCTTGGTAGATCAGTACTGTAGTAAAGGGGTCAGTAGCCACAGGTATGTGGGCGGTGGGACCATACTTGGACATGATTGAGATGGCACAAGGGAAAAATTCTGAGGAAGACCTTATGATGAATATTGCAAGCTAGCTTGTCAGGTGCTTTGCTATTTGCTGGAAAAAGTTGAAATAGGGAAATAAAATCTTTCCCGGGAAGAGCAGCGAGGAATAGCTCGGGTTATCGATCGCGAGATCAGTCAAACTTTCCAAATAAGGTTGAATACAAAATAGAAAGAAGCAAATAATCGTATCAAAGCTATACTTCTGGTGGTAAATTGAGAGTCGGCAAGGACAAGCAGAGAGCAGTCAACATTTTTATATCTATAGAGCCGGTTGTGATACAGTTTGATACATCCTTTCCTCCCCGTTGATGCTTTCCATTCCGCGCCCTAAATCCGCACATATTTTATTTTAGCACACATCATCTTACATGCTTCCTACAAACACATATTGTGAGCAGGAGAACAGAAGGCAAATGGTTTCTGGAGTGTGTTAGCTTGCGGCGATGAAGGGCAATGAAACCAGGCCCAGTGCAGCATGCATGTCTCTTGTCACGCGTCTATGGAAGCTCTCGCTTCCGATAGTCGATCCCTGTTAATCTATATTATGTATGTGTCATAATCAGTTAGTACTTGAATTGAGAGAGTTGCTGAGGTAAGGTTGCGGCACTGATCTTGATCCTAAAACCAAGGCTGCGCGATGCCCAGACGATTTTTAAAAGTACATTCCTAGAATGTATCTTCGCGCCGACAAAAAAGCTACTCGGTTCCAAGAGGGGTTTCTTCGGGCCTGCGGATGGTTACTCGGTGTCTTAAGGGATTGATTTTGCCTCCGTACAATATCAGCTTGCACGTTTCTGTGATCCTTGGTCAGAGAAACTGTGCATTTGAAGCTGGCGGGATATAACTTAATTGCTATCGCCGTCCGTTAGCCTTGTAGGGTGTATTAGTGCCGAGATTCCGTGGAGCTGGGCCAGGGTGGTACAGAATAAATGGATGCGGAAAGTCGATGCGGAAGGTGGATGCGGAAGGTGGATGTGGAAGGTGGATTGCAAACCAATTCAGCCTCGAAGACAGCATGCTGCAAGAATCATCCATTACCTAGATAGGGAATCGGTAGGAGAGGTAGGGTTAGTGCGCAGTTTGAGCGGTCCTTCTGTCCGGATTCTGTGATGCAGGGGCAGCAGCTCACCGTACCATTGCGCCTAAGTCGGCAATGTAAGTATCTGATTTGAGGTCGGACTTCGAGAGCTGATGTGAGGCCCCGCGCTTCGGCACTAGCAGGCCGGGTTGCCAACTTCCTAGCAAACAAGAACTAAGGCCCGGGGAAGAAATAATTGTGCGATGCAGCAAGGAAAGGCTTTCACGACACGACGAGGATCACAACCGCACCGCCTTAGAGAGGCACTAAAAATCCTCACCGGTCCAACCCAGCTGAGTCGAGACACGCCGCCATGAGGAGCAACCTCCTCAATCGTGGTTTTTTCGGGGTTCTCTGTGGGCATAGGGATACGTCCTGGCAAAATTAATTAGCTCTTGTCGTCGAATTTCGCAATCGCAGCTGGAAGCGGAGAGCCGGGCTTAGTCCTGTTATTGGTATGTCTCCACAGATTTATGTAACATAACTCAACAGGTTTCTGTAGAAAAAGAAGTCGAAGGAGTTCTAAGGATCGCTATCAAATTAAGTTTCTTCCGAAAAGGGTGTTGGTGACTGCTAGGGATCGTAAGGGGATTGGCCCCCCTAAGATCCCTGAGCCGGGTAACCAAACGCCAAACCTTCCCAATAACGAGCACCTCTATATTATAAGACACCACCAAAAGCATGAGCCATCCTTCGACCTCGTATATTTTCACGTGACCCTATCATTTCGATCCAGCCTTATATCTTATCAGGCTGCGCTAATCCCCAAACGTGCGGCCCCTCCCGTATGCACGAGCCCTGCGGCCCCACTAAGCGGGACCGATTCCAAGAAATAGGTCGGCCCTAGCAATTATAGCTCTGACTCTATTCTCACGCTCCGTGCTTGCAAAATGCCCAATGTTGGAAACTGCGATATGGACTGAAGCTGGTCGCGATAATTTCGCAGGTAGGTTTGTGGGTTGTCAATTTGTACGTTTCAGTCTTCATCGGATTGATGGCGCATCGCGTATGCAGTCCATGGATCATTCCCCTCTTGCAACCAAGTGTTGATTGCCAGTGTCATGCCAGGCCCCACCGATAGTCGAGGCTCAAAATCAGATGGATCGAAGATCGGAGTAAACCCGTAGTTATTGAATTGCGCGCCCATGTGAACGGAATCGAGAGCGAAGTCTGCGAGAACGTGTATTGGGATCGTGAGGTGGTTATTAGAGAGGGCAACACTGGAGTCGGACGCAGCGCGGGATGATATTTGGTCGTCCAAAAGAGTTTGGGAAGAACTGGCATCGTCCCTAGAAGAGCGACGTCAGTATATCTACGCAGGATGAAGAACGGCTTGATTTTGGCAACATTAGCCTAGAATTACCTTGGGTGAAGAGAGGGCAGGCCCTGCGAGGCTACCAAAGTCCCAGAGGAAAGCGACATTTCTGTTGCCAAGAGATGTTGAGGCAGACGAGCGGGAGACAGATCTCCGAGATTAGAATTTGAGATGCAATAAGAGCAGCAAGATCTGGGAACGTGGAGGAGTGAAGAAAGAGGGAGACAACCCTAGCGCCGGGTTTCAGCGTCAGAATATATACATCCCTTCCGATTCACATGTCTCGAGGCGACCTCGGAAAGCAGAAAGAGCCGTGGTGCTGGAGAACCTGCAAAACCGTTGAATACAGCGTCGTCGGCCATTGAGGCGCACGCACAATGCCATCCTAGCATCATTGGGCACTGACACGAAGCAAATGCAGGCATCTTGCTTGTAACGTTATGGTGCCAGGGTTGGATCTTTCCCAGTTGAGCAAATGGGTGCCAGTTTCGCGGAATTTTCATAATGAAGCGAGCAGCGATGCTGACTTGAGATATATCATACGACCTTAGAAGCAGGACAGGGCCTGAATAGGCCAACCATATGAAAGGATCATCGGTTCCTTGGTTTCTCCACGGAGGAATTTGGGGTCATCATGCTAATTGCTGACAGACGGCTCGGGATGAGGCTCTTCGGGGGGAGGTCCTCTGTGTTTCTCGTCTGCATTACAAAAGTGGCTGCGATGTCACACCACTGCGATGCTTTTTCCTCTCAGCCTCGACGGTTCGACAGCCGCTTCGACCCCACTATTCGGCCTACCTAACTATCCCGTCCCACCGAAGCTGCAGTAACCTGTTTCCGATACAGCACAAGCTCTAGAATCGCTGCACCAGCTTCGACTATTCATCCTAGCCCGCCACTTGGTCCACCATATCTTAATCTAGTTTAGGACACCCTCTCGGGCGGTTTCCCACCCAGCCCGGCGGGTGTGCCGTCTGCCAAGAGGACGGAAAAGATGCCGCTTCTGTGTTGCAGGGCGGTGTTCTTTCGGGGGTGGACACCCGATAGGAAAAGTTACCGTCCCAGCTTTCTGGGTGTCGCTGGATCGGCGGCTGGGTGCTCTTCACGACGATCTCTGAAGTCTTCGTCACCCTGACATGGGACCATGACACCCTCTCCAGAAAGTGACAACGGCGCGTATGTGCCATCCCATGCTACAGCAGTACGTGTACATAGGCTGACGTCAAGCCACGCGTATCAATCTTTACTGGAAGATTTCATCCCGAGTTGCAAGGCCAAGTCTTAAGCCAAGGCTGTGCTGATAGCTGAGGCAGTGGAAAAACAGGCAGGGAAATCAAGGGTTGCGCCATATTGCGTTTAGGCGAAGCCGGGGGCGGACGCATTCATTTCCGCGCGGCATTCCGTTCGGCGCTAAGGCCGAATCTTGCGCCAAAGGCTTGGATCCTGGGGCCCGCATGCCCGGGGAATCGGTGACTGTTTGCTAATGCCTTCGAACATCCAGTAACGCATTTCTATCTGCCCAAGAATCAAGTCACATTGCATATGGCCTAAAGTAGGTTTTAAAAACTGATTTTGTTGTCTTCGGTTAGGACATAAGATCCCGAAATGCTCCGGTCTCACGGCCCAGCAAACTCACCGGAAACATTCTCTTTTGATCGTGTATTGCTTGAATAGTAGTAGTGTGGGGTTACTTCAATGTCATGCGGCATTCGCTTCACTTTTCAATGTAAGAGTGCTGCGCTGAAGACCCAGGTCGGGCAACATCAAGGTGCCCATGGGTAGGGTGCGCCGTGCAAAGGCTGCAATTGCGCCGAAGATTTAGAAACTGTCCCTATGATAGAATCCGCGAGCGGTACAGCATTCGTGTGCTGCGTTGCGTGCTGCTTGATGTGCGCGGTGGTGGCATCATGGCGTTTGCGCCACTTACTCGAGGCGCACTAAGCGTCATAACGTGCCTGTCTGCGGCGCATCAGTGTTGTGATTCTGCAAGACCCTGGTGGCGCTCGAATGGCGTTAGATAAAGTTTGAGACTGAGTGCGAGGAGGCACGCGTGACGATCAGAATCTGAACCTGTCTGTCATTTTTGGGCGGTTGGTGGGAGTGTCTACCCCATACTATTCCTGCAACTAAATATGCCTAGTCAACCCACAGCTTCTCGTAGCTCCAGATGGTTCGGCGACACTAGAGGAAGGAAACAAGCTCTCAAGTGTTCCCTCCATTGGTAGCCTTAATTAAGTGATGACTGGGATTGGGGCGTGCAGAAGTGAAACATCGGCAGTGGCCGCCCAGACCTAGGCATCGACCCCGGGTATCCACTCCACCGGGACTATCTTACGTTGGATACCGATCATTCAGCAATCGTCCTAAGTCTCGGCGCCTTGAAATGTAGGGAGAAAGGAAAGTGCCAGCCAAGAACGTTACCCATATCACCTAGCTCGAGACTCCCGATTGAATGGCACGCGATACATCCTCTTCGCATTGACGCTCCAGGCTGATAAGAACTCCCCCAGGGAGCGCACGTTCACCGATCTTCTTCAGCGACTCCTTTCAGCGACTCCTTTCAGCGACACAAAACCGCCGCGTGCAATTCTGTTCCAGGCACGTAATAGTGTGCAAGTGCTCCTCTTCATGTTTCCTATCACAGGTTAACTCAATCGCAACCCTCCAATTCTAGGAGAAGCACCTACTGGTACTCTGGACGTGTCAATAGCGGTCCATGTTGGCAGCTCTTACACCTATACTTGACAACTTGGTCAGTCACTGGGACTTTCGGATCTTTCGGCTTCGTCTTTCTGCCTACTGGAAATCGAATCTGTGTTGTATTGGGGACGAAGAAGGAATGGGCAGATTCGCTCGACGATGTGCTGGATACTGATGCGCGGCGTACCGTGACCGTCGCAGCCGGCGATGTGACTATTAGTGGGGTTGGAGGATTTGGCAACGTTGTACTGAGGAGAGATAGGATAGGGAGACGGCTTGGCAGAAGGTTTAGTGGATCATATATTGAGTTAGACGGGCTCGCCATGTCAGAAAAGTCGACGGTCGACGTTCGGGTCGGGTTTGAAGAAGGCATGAGCAAGCTCATGACAAACCCCTGATCGAATCTGTACTCAGGCAGACCTGCTGCCTGGCGCATCGTAATGACATGGTGTATTTCGTCTTTCTCACTTGTTGTCAGTCGGAGTTCCTTCGTCATTTTTGCCCGCTCAGTTGCAGAATTTAGAAAGTATCTGCTGGCGACACTGAAGGCAGCTCTCTGAAACGCAGGGCAAACATCTTTGGGAAGCAGGCGTTCGCAATTCGTTGCAAAATCTCCATACTGTTCCCCATACCCGGATACCTGCACCAAAGTTGGATCTTTAGGGATGGGAAAATAACCTTCAGTCCATCGAGAGATTTCGCATGCGGCCTTATGCTGGGGGTACCTACCCTGGTATTTTGCTATGAGCGCCTCCAGTACTTGCAGCTTTAGTGGCTCTTCGAAGGAACGCGATGCAAGAGTGATCGGCTGTATACCACTTCCATCAGCTAACTCCGGGTTTGCGCCACCGTCGAGGAGACACTGCATGCGAGGGATGATATCAACAGCAGGGCACCGCGCGATGCATTGCCGTAGAGGAGTCCAGCCATCAGAACTAGCAAAATTAGGGTCTGCTCCTCCTTTGAGCAACACGTCAATGTCGCGTAAGGTGTCGGCGGGGTGTCTTTTTGCGTCGGGGCAGCAGCCAAGAACCTCGTGGAGTAAATTAGCTCCATTGGCTTTCGGGCTCGGGGCAGCATGGTCGACAAGAAGACGCGCTGTCCTGGGTGTAGAGTGCCACAGAACCTGGTGTTCGAATGTGTCCCCAGAACGAGCCGAGCACGGAAATCCGTGGAATGATGTTTGCAGATCTGCGCCTTTTCTTATGAACGCTTCGAGACATTCGATGTCAGTCGGGGTTAGACCCGTTGCCCACGATGGGTTCCCCTGCCAAGGCTTGATGAACGTTTCAAACGGTGTGAGGCCGTTTAGATCTTCAGCAGGGGGCACATGTATATTCGCTCCTGCATTTAGAAGCATCTTCATAATCCTCTCACAGCGTTCCCTCGCTAGTGGATTAAGGTACTCGGTGACGCGGCGATCTAGGACCAGTTGGAGAGCAGTTTTAAAAGGCATACCATCCAAAGGGGCAGCTTGGTCATTGACACTTGCACCTTGATCAAGAAGCAAGCGAACGATATCGGGGACATTCCAGAAGGCGGCTTGAAGCAAGGGCCTCCACGAAGTTCCAGGAATTCCATTTACTTGAGATCCGCCTGAGTGGAGAAGAGACTGCACTGTATATGTGCGTCCGTTTTTAATAGCGTTATGAAATGCAAGGTCTGTTCCAAGAGGATGACGGGAACCTTTAGCGCTATTGGAAATGAGAACCCATATGATTGGACCGGTTGGCAAGGCACTGGCAATGTCAAGCAGAGTTTGATCCGAATGTTGAAGGATGACACAAGACTGTATTGCGGGGTGGTTGAAGAATCGACCGCCGTGAACATCAAATGGAAGGCCGATTGGGTAATTGACGTGGTTTGGGTGTGTAAGGATGAGGTGCTCTAGCTTCTGCGAATCACCCTCTAAAACGGCTGCAAGCATATCCATAACAATATCTGTGGTTACGGTCCTGGCTTGGCTCCAAGGATCAATTGCTCGAAGAATGCTGCATACAAATTAGCTGGGTACCCCATAAAGCGTAAAGATGCAATTACTCTGTGGATTCTTCTACTATCGGCGTACTCAAACCAACGGTTGCACTCACGTCACTTTCCTCCACCCTCTCGATTTCCATGACGTCCTCTTCATCTTCTTCTCTTCCATCAGTCCGGTCTTCGGTTGCCTTCCTCGGTCGGTGCCTTGTATATCCCCACTCCTTTAACTTCATTCGATATGCTCTAGTTCTAGGGTGAGCTGTCAGCCGGAGATACCTAACGTGGCTACGTGCGACTGTGTAGCCAGGTCATGTGACTCACGAAGCTCGAAACTTATGCTTGCTCTCCATGATCGCCTTTACTTCTTGGAGACACTTTTTCTGGTGGACTGAGAGCTCTGCAATGTCCGTTCGTACGGAATCCCAGTCTTTCGTCATGGTGAAGGGGCGTTGGAGCTAGTATAAATGCGGCCTACGACGCAAGGGTACTCGTAAGAGCGAGGAAGGCCTATAAACTCTTCTATTACACCCAGGAGGTGAGAGTTGTGACAAAGATAAAGGAAGAACCGGTACACTAGATCGGTGGTGGAGGTTGTTGGATGCGACCTAGTCAAAAGGCCCAGGCAGGCATCAACGAAAATCGATGACGCAACTTTCAAAACACACATAAGACATTCGAGCCATCAAGAAAGGTGGGAGAGGGATTTCAAGTGAAACTTGGGGCCTTGAGGTCCTTTAAGAATCCATCAAGCAGCGTCCGGGCTGTAGGTTGTCGAGTGCAAAAAATCTCAGGCGGTGACTCGCTTCAATGTGCAGCTCCAACGCTAACCGTTTGTGAATTTAGTGGGGCCTGCGCCCTGCGCTGTGGCTGTTCTGTGCACCTGCTCGAATTCGCTCAGCCTCATCATAGAGTGCACTTTTGCACAAAGCAGTGGCTTTTTGAGACAAAGTGCAATTCTCGGACGAATCTGCATAGGCTATGCCAACAGGATTGATAAGCCACAGTGATCCTCCTAGGCTGTGGATGACTTTCTTCGTCAATATCGCCTGCTAATATTCTCATGTAGTGCAAGCCCAATGCCTTTAGTCTTCGTCCAACTCGTGTCCTGCGTCAAAAACTTCAAGCAACCGTTGACTCGCACACACAGTCCTCTCTTGAGCGAGAATTAGGTCCGACAATGCAGTCCTTATTCCCATCTTCCCGTTCATATTAGGGTAATCAAAGGAAGTTAATTCTTCCAACCATCCAAGAGACCCATCAGCACGCGCAAGAGTAGTCTTTGAAGGTCCTGTTTTGCGCTGCGGTGTTGACTGCGCATTCCCACCAGAAACCTCAATTGCCGGGTTCGCTGCACGCCCGAATCGACTCGTATCTTGGGTTTCTATGCCTTCTCCTGCATTTTGCATCTGCGGAGACCTCCTGCTTATATTCATCGATCTGTCCTGTTCTTCTCCATGCTCCCGCTTCTCCGGCCTCTTCTTCGGACTAATATCTGGAAACAGCCGAGTAATTCGATCCAGAGGCTCAGACTCTAATTTCTTAAGTTCCAGCGCAATATAATAAAACCCCATCCCACAAACCACGGTAATCAAAAACGTGATGAAAATAAACAAAGATCCGAGGCCGAAAGATGGTACCAGTCCAATCGCCCACACTCTCCCTAGATATATACCCAGGCCGATCAAAAACGTGCTTAATGCAATCTTCAGGAGATCCATTGGATGAATTAATATCATGGCCGAGTATGCTGACGCAATCTTCCATCGATGTTGCGAAAATTCAGTTCTCAGGTCAGATACATCGTCGCTCGCGTGGTTCGCGCTAGTTTCTACTTTCGTAAGGAGGGTGTTAATTCGCTGTGAAGTCCAGCGTGGTGCTGGGACGGTAAGAAAGTCGCGAATGTCGTTGGCATTGTGAAGGCCATGCAGCGCGGGACTAAGAACGCAGGCAAAGTATACTGACAGCGCACCAGTAACGAGTGAGACCACATAGAATGCTTCTACAGTCCAGTGGGAGTCTTCCAATCGTGTGAGAGATAGCGCGGTAATAGCGACTTGAGCAATGATAGCTCCCTGGTGTTGTCAGCGGCCCGCTCATCGTGCGGTATGAGGTGCGCGCACAGCGACTGCGATCATGCCAAAGCTGGATGTGTATGATGCCATGAAGTCTACCACCTCCACATCATCAGCTACCAACACGTATTCCTCTACTTGTTTCATTATCCTCCGAACTCCAGGAGCGTACAATGTAAGGATTATCGCCATAAGTATTCCATGGTCGTGACATAATTGCCGGAAATCCCACCATTTAGCTTTGAACAGATATGTAGGTGACGTGTGGAAATTGTTAATTCGTAGTCGCTCTTTCGTAGCAACCTGGAAGGTCTGCCCGGGATCTGAAACGAGGAGCCGCACGATGAAGCTAAGTGTTCGGCCGATTGCTTCAATGCCAGACATTTTGTAGTCTCGAGTTTACGATTGTCTGCGCTGCTGTATGGGGGTGTCGGAATTGGGTGATGAAACTTAACCCAGGATTGCAAGTCGGTGTCTGCTGACTATTAGAATCTCGTATTCGTGAGGCAGGGGTCTGGCGCTTGGAAGGTTGACATCCGTGATTGAAATTACAGGTACCACCAAAAGAAAAAAAAGGAGGGCATTCAATCCGACATAACGGTAAGCATTTCAGGTCAAAACAAGGGTCGGAGTGACAGGTGCCAAGAATCAAAAAGGGGAAAGACTAGGAGCGCCAAGAGAAGTATGATCTAGCCCATGTAGGATGATGCGAAACAGAAGCATTTGAATATTTTCACATTCAGTTAAGAAAACAGACAAATAGAACGCCTGATGTATGCAAGTCTAAGGTATTGAGCTCTCACACTCATCACGATACAATTCCCTAACAGAAAGTTTCAATCCCATGCAATTACAACTCAGAGTCTCCTTCAAATAACCATGCACCTATCCTCTCATCTACCATATCTTCCCGATCAGAATGATTTAGCGACCACCGATCTGGCCCTTTGGAATAGGCCTGACCCAGATAAAGATCAGGTTGAGACCAACGACCATTATGCCCATGATCCAGAAGACCTTAGCATAGTGCGTGCCGTTGTAGCGGAAGATGATGGCAAATATGATACCTCCGAAGTTGCCAGTAGCACCGACCAGACCGGATAGAATACCTATGTAGTTATTAGTGCCTTCTCTTTATATAGGCGATAGCGGAGAAACTTACCGTTGGCATGGGGGTGAACGTGAGGAACAAGGGCAAAGTTGGCACCGTTACCAGCCTCAAGGAAGATGGCCATGACAGCAATGAGGCCGACCATCTCGTCCAAGCTCTTAGGGTCTAGCTTTCCGATGATGATGAGGAAAATACCAGACACAACACCAACGAAGTGGATCCAGAACTTCTTTGCCCAAAGGCTGCCGTTGGTGTACTTGTAGATCACGTCGCCGATGAAGCCACCAAGAGGACGAGTGACAACGTTGAGAAGACCGAACATAGCCGCCCAGCGGCCAGACTTGGTCTGCCCGAGATATTTGAAGTTCTTCAAGTAGTAGGACCCGAGGATGGAGTTGATCGCGAGTTCACCACCAAAGCTGCAGAAGTAGGTCAAGCACAGATTGAGGGTCTGGAGATTGACAATAACACCCAAAGCTTCCTTAAAGGTGGGTGTCTGGACAATTTCGTGCTGGACCTCATCAATTATAGTGACTTCGACCTCACCGGCTTCGACGTTGTCGTTGACTGGGACCTTCTTCTCATCGGAATCGGAGAAGGAACCGGTCGCCAAAGGCTTATCAGCGAGTTCGCCGGTAGTATCAACAATGGTACCTTCATTGCCACTTGGTACGGCCTTCGCACGGTCGGCCCACTTTCCGGTTGGAGTGTCGTCAGTGGTAAGGAGCATAGCAACGCCAGTAAGCATGATGAGGACGAATGGGACAACGAAAGCGACACGCCAGGCCTTGTGGGGAGTCAATCCTGACTTGTGAACGAGGGCATCGAAAATGGCAGGCATTACAAAGCTGTTCAACTGTGAGCAAAGACAATGCAAAGTGAGTGCGCTTGGTACTTACTAGGTGATACCGCCACCGGAGTTACCCCAGCCACCAACCAAGGCATTGGCAGTACCAACGATGTTCCTGTCAAAGAAGCCGGTAGTCCACACCTGGCAAGGGACGAAGGAGCCGCCGAGAATGCCGACGAAGAATCGGATAAAGTAGAGGCCCATAGCATTGTGGATAGTGCCAGCAAGAACTGATGGAATGGAACCAGCAATAAGACAGCCAACAAATGTAAGACGCGGCCCGATCTTGTCGCAGAGAGGGCCAGCGACAAGACGGACGAGGAGCGTAGCAGTGAGGGAGATGATGTTTGAGTTGGCAACTTCAACCTGAGAAAGATGAAGATCTTTCTTGATGGTCACGCTGAGCTAGAGTGCAGGTTAGTCGAGTCATTCGAGTTGGCGTGAGGTTGAGGGTCACCATACCAGCGGCGGGAACGCGTACCTAGGGACGTCAGTGAGTGTGAGAGGCTCTTAGGCATACAGGAACTTACCAAGACCAGAAAGCAATAAAGAATCCGAGGTATGAGAAGAAGAAGACACGACCATATTTGTCGACCGGATTGAAGATGGGAATGGACTTGGCCTTCTTGTTGTAAGGGTTGATCTCTGGCGCAGACCAGAGCTGCTTGAGCTGGAAACCCATTGCGAGTGTTTGGCAGGAGGATCGGTGGCGGAAACTGTCTACTGAAGAAAGAGCGGAAGGATCTTGCCGGATGCCGGGGATCGTTCGGAGGGGAAGTGGTGGTAGTACCTGCTTGCAAATTGCAGATGGAAAATTCCAGGGTAGAGAAATGTGGAAGCTATATAGAAGGCCAGGGCAGAGGATTTGCAAAGGATACTTCCGCGGTATACGATTTGTTGTATTGGCACAGATGCAAAGCGGGCCCGAGAGAAAGTCGGCGCTGGAGACCGGCCCAGACGATGAGCCAAGTGCGTCGAGGATTCTCCGGGGTACATGTGGGCGAGACCGATTGAGTCTGGATTTGAAGCGCAATGACCCCTTATCTCCCTGTGGCGTAATCACAGGCAATTTACGATGACGCAGCAAAAGCAAATGCGCGTTGAAGTTGGAGAGAACGCTGCTCTGGCAGCGTTGTAGTTCCCGCGGAAGTTGAGACGTGCTCGGATGAGCTGCAGAGCACCGCTCAGTGAGCTGAAAGGTGGTTTTATGGCAACAACGGAGATGTGGACTCGTGTTGCGCGGACGAGTGATGTTCACCAGCAAAGACTTTCAGCGTGGGGTGGAGGTGGGGGCGGGAGCGGAACGGCGTTCTCTTATCTCTTAGCAACAGCCTCTTGAGCCAAGAAAGATCTAATTGACCCAGCAATAGTCCCCTTATCTTGCAGGTAGGAGAAATATGTTAAAAGCATTTCCGCGGTCAAGTTGCCAAATACCTGGTGTCGCAACAAATCACTTCACCACTACTGCACACCAGAATCGCTCAACCAAGAATGATGTATTGTCGGTCGAATGCGCAAGAGAATATCACGTGTGGAGTAACAGGATGTTGAAATAAAGAGCTGAATCACCTGGCGCCTTTGCTTCTTTGTTCTGGGTTGAAGTTTTGAAGCCGTTGTGCGACATTGCACTCAGCCCCAGGTTCCAACACCATTGTGTCCAGATGGAGCCGGGTGTGACGTGGGACCAGAGTCAAGCACGGATCAACCGTGGAACGAAGCGAAACATGGCTTTTAACCAGGCTCCGGAGACTTGAGTCGCGGAGGTGTTGGAAATCCTGTCTATCTTGCTTTTCGACGACGATCAAGTTCCGATCGAACGCGGAGACGTCTGCGAACTCTAGAAGAAGTCCATCATTGGGGGATCGACGATGCCTTATCATGCATCCTTCCGAGAGGCAGATGCCCAGCACATGATGCCTTTACCTAGTGCTTTGATCTGGTAGGCTACTCTTCTCACTCGAAAATAAGTTCGCTGGCTTCTTGGATGTCATTATTAAATTAATTTTTTCGTACCCGTTCCTCGGCGATGCTCGGGCAAATGGCATTCACCACGTTGTTTCACCAACTGAGAGCACGGCATAGTCATCCAGGCCAGAACTTTAGAATCCGTGTTACCATTCCATGATTCTAGAACGATGTTCGATAGATTGGCTCTATTACATTCATATTCCCTGTTGTGTGATAACATATTGGAAGTTTCAGAAATGAGGGTGATCTATTTCCTTCCCATTCATCACATGCCAGTAATCAAATACATTCACTAGGCCCACGCTATGGCAACGCGCTCCGCACATTACCGAGACATGCATTATCTAGTGGCTCGAAGCCATGATGTCAAATTGTCTTGGATACCATCGCTCCAGAATCCTTACGCCATATATCACTGCTCCGGTTTGCCATTCAGAGTCCCTAGCCGGCAGTACGAACGTCCCATGCGCCGATTTAGGCTCGCACAGCTGTTTAAGATGACTCCATTGATTGCTGGGAAGAAAGGGAACAGTCTAAGAAGCATACATAGGAGTACGCGAATCTTTCGACCGGACCAGTGGATGAAACGCTTGCGAGTGCGCGGAGGGAAGCCATCGCCGTAGCGAAATACCCGTAGAGGTACTGGATCCTCGGGCTGTAATAATGGCCGGAACGTGCGCTCGATATTGTCGAACCCCATATCACGAGGATGATTCCGAGATGGTCGAGCTGCGGTATGACATACCAGACCCATGGACTAAGGTTCATAAAAGTATGAGAGCTTCCACATGCGGCGAGCTAAGACAGCATGCACTGCGCGAGGCCCGTACCTGGACGAGACTAGGAAGTAAACCGTTGCCGATGAGAAGAACCTGAAAACCGCAAGTGTATCCGTTGATGCGGTATGCTAACACAGAGAGGGTAGGTCATAATATAGACAGGTAGGCACCACTGAGAATCCAATAGTTCTCAAGATATAGAGCCATGTGTTTACTAGGGCTGGGTACTGAGGAGGGTGTCTGAGACATTGGATGCTGCCGCACATCGGGTCGTGATGAATGCGTAGAGTGGTTGAAGCGAATGCAAGCTTGAGTATGAGTCTTACTTGGTGCTAAAACCAGACCACAGGCGCAATTATTGTGATTTTTGTACTAGTAGTGGGTCAAAACATGCTCGGTACAAGGAAACCCACTGCTGCCAGACTTCTGAGACTGGAGTATTGGCCATAAACACTCACCCTACCTCCGCTGCTGCTACTTATGAAGGTCACCTCAGACTACTAACGCTTGTGGGTCAAGTTTCTCGTTGAAGGCTCTCCGATGAATCGTCAAGTAGAATTCTCTAAAGACGACATCGCCACCAATCCAATGCATGCTCTCGATGAGGGGTCGAAAGAGTTCCGCTCTGATGAGAAAGCTCAGTCTGAATGTCACAAGTTTTAGTGGTGGGATGCAAAGCCTTTGGGGTTTTTAAGTGAGAACAAGAACCCAGGAAGTACCCAGGTATAGGGTCGGCTTTCAGTGATCGCATCTAGCGCCATGGCGGCCACCTTCATAGCAAGCCCCGCCCACCGCCTGCACCAGGCCTGGTGCTATGTCGCACTCAGCACCCAGAACTGTCCCCAGTCCGCTCATGCAAAGAGGCCTATGCTAGTTTCACTTACACCGTGTATACAGCCCAGTATCTACTCTGACATATCAGCGCTTCGAAATCATAACATCAGCCACCAAAAGTAGGCAAACCTGCAAGGCCTGACACCTGACTAGAGCTATCCTTCACTTTCAGCCACGATATTAGCCATCACGTGGGACGTGTTTAACAGAACGCCGTACTATAACACCGCCTAAACAAGACAATCAGATCAGTTAGTCCCTCTACCAAACGCTCTTAGTCATATCTCATCACGAGGTATTCATTCTACCCCACTCCTTTTGTCTACAGTAGATGTAGTAAATTTTGTGCCCGAGTGCTCTTTGGAGTTCCTCTCTCTTTCATATCAAATTGCCTCCGATTATGGGAGCTTCCATTTCCCGCATCTCAGAGGTTGGCGGCAATTAGGGCGATAATTACATCCAGTTTAGCATACAAGTCGTCAAAACAAGCTCCGCCCGCTATTGTTACGGCTTCGGCGTAAATTGGGAATGATTTATGGGGGAGAGTGTACCGGTAGCCTTCCTATTACCCAGAAGACATCCAATAATACATAGATTTATATGGAAATTCCTATATTGGGCATGACCATCTAAATTCTCAACCTCTCCGTAACCATCCTAACCCCCCTTTCCACCTTCTTCCAGGCCCCTCCTTCGCCGCCTTCTTTTCCACCACCTCCTCACAATCCCCGGGTCCATCAACCCACTCCACGCCCTCCCCAACAACCTCAACCCCCCACCGAATCCTCCCATCCAAATCTCTAAACCACCCCAACTTCATCCTCAAATCCTTATCCCGCATCAGCTCCTCAGAACCCCTCTCCTTCACCAAATCAAGCAACCGCTGACTCCCAGCAATAAGCGCAAGCACATCAGCTACGCACTCAACCCCTCTAACCAGACTCTTCAAATACGTGCAGAGTGTGAGCGAAACAGTGAGAGTGGTGATAAGAAGCCAGATTAAGATGCCGACAGCCATCCACGTCGCAATATGGTTCATACGGAGTGTTGACACTTCTGTTGAGACCTGAGAAATGGCTGTATCTGAATCTGAGATCTTAGCCTCTCTTTTATTCACCGCGATAGTAACCTCCTCACTGATCCTGATCTTTGTTGGATCAATAGGCTTGCCTAAATCTGGGGGTTGCAGGTGCCTGGGCTGAAACGCCCACCCCCCTTCCACTAGATTAGTATCAGTGCTCACATAGTACTGAAAGAAGGTCGAGAAAGCCCTCTGCGTGCCCTTCAGAAACGTCTCGGGATCCAACATCGCCTGCGCATCCTTCCCAGCTTGTGCGTACGCTGCATACGACATAAAATCCGTGTTAAGCCCTGATCCATTCGCGCGGATATTAAACACGGAGTCAGAGAATCTCTCATTTCTTATGGCCATTGTACTGTCTTGGAAATTATACATATCCCCGGCTCCGAGCAAAGAAGAGAGGAAGAGAATACCATAGCTAGCGGTGATGTTCCGGCTCCCAACTTTTTCGGTGAAAACAGTATCGTTACTGAATGGCTTCGATTCGCTCGGGTCAGTGACATTGTGAACGACAAAGGCATCGAACCAAGCTTCTGGTGCAGACTTAGGGGTGTCGAGGATATTGTAGGATTGTATTCGGCCACTTTTTTGGGCAACTACGACTTCGGCGTTTGCAGTTTCGATTATGGGGACGCAGTTTAGGATTTGGATGGAGGGAAGGGAGGTGAATATGAGAAATGGGGAGTTATGGGGCATGCCATTACTCTCCATGAATACAGCTGAATTGTTGGTGTTGGTTTCATTGTTGCCACCTACGAAGGTGAAGGTGGTGTTGGTTGCGTTGTTATTACCTACGACAGGAAAGGTGGTGTTGGTTGCGTTGCTGCCACCTGGGAAGGCGAAGGTGGTGTTGTCTGTGCTACCGCCAGCCATAGTGAAATTGCCTACTTCGTCTCGCTTCCATGTTATTTGAAATTCAGTGCCGTCCTCGCTTGGAATGTAGTAGTGTCGTGCTTGCCCTCGTATCCATTTTGCCGTGAAGTTCCTCGGCCAAGTTTGATTTACATGGGGATAGCTCTCTGGATCATTAGTAGACCAATACCCTATGGAAACAGGGACAGCCAGATCCTTGTCTTTTGTGGTATCGTTGTTGCAACATTGAACCCAGGTCTTGCTCGTTAGAACCGAGGTATTATATTCTCTATTCGGAAACATAATCGGCTTTAACGAATATCCAGTAGTAAGCTCTGTTCGGATACTCACCCATGGATCCTTGGTAAGATCCTCGGTGTTGAGCCACGAAGAATGATCACGAGCTTCTTCGACTGGAGTACATTCTACCCGGCCCCTAATAGCAGGCGTAGAAACCGTGACGTTAACAGGCGAGATGCTGGCGGCAAGCTTTTCATCGTTGGTCTGGTATCCCAGGTGTTGTTTCGGGTGATCATTTGTCACTCCAGCAAGATCGATTGGTACAAAACTCCAGCCTTCGTGGCTCCAGGCTGGCTCTGAACCGTTAAGAGTCATGTGAATAACCGCGCCGTACATCCAATTTGTTGTAAGATTCGTGAAGAGATCCTTGAGTATATTGTTCGCATATGTTTGGCCAGGGACATTCCTCACGTCTTCAGTTTGAATATAGGGAATCTGGCGGAGTCCAATTGTGCGATTGAGGATGATGGATTGCACAAAGGCAGATGTGTCACGCTCAAAGAGGGCTGACATAGATATAATAACTACAGTTGTGTCAATAGATTTTCGGATATGCCAGAATGTAGCATTACATACAAGCTTGACTAAGAAACGTCCCGAGCGTGACTAAGGCGAGAATCCAATGGGAATTTAGCAATGCCTTGCAGGTAGCGAAAAGCCAGTATGAAGATTGATACGAAAGGCCAAATCCACGGGAAACACGGACTGGAGACTTTGAGTTTGACATTGCAAAGTACGGCTGCAGCGTGCGAAACGATTTATCAAGGCCTTCCCACCATAGGCCAACAGCGATAGCCATGAGGGTAGGTATGATCGAAAAGGGCGCAATGGTTCCTAGGTTTTGGTTCAAGCCTGGAAGGTTTGCTTGGAATACGAATGCAGATTGATAAAGACCCGATGACCGATTCGCAAAGTGCTGCAGCACGGCCACCCCAACAATCAGACATAAAACGTAGAACCCCAAGGCAAAGAAACTTCGCAGACGGAGAACTGTGGGTCTCCAGTTCGGGGATGAAGTAGATATGCAGGTGTCAGTCCTTGTTCCTGTTTCGTTACATTAGAACCTCAACCTATCGAACAGAGTGAATAATCTGCACTCACCAGAGCTCATCTCTTGTCCTGGTTTATCATCCACATGCAGTTGCCCTGGAGTCGAAAAATACCTTCGCTCCTGTAAAGCTTTCTTCATTACCTTCTGCGAGCTCTGATCCAAGTCCTTCAACCCTTGAAGAGGCTCGCGTCCGAGTGCAACTAACGAAGCTATTCCAAGAACACTGCCAGGGTCTTGCGTCAAATTGGTCGGCCTAACTCGGGTACGCGAGAGCCAACAAATAGCCACAAGGAAGAAGAAGGATACCGCGAAGACAAATCCCAAAATGATGGCAGCTTCTTTTACCACGACAATCCTTCTCTGCCCCATAATCACGTGTCCTGCTGCATTTTGTGTCGTCGCAGCATCAGATTGTGCAACGGAAGACTGCATGACCTCGCTAAAGAACCTCCTCCGGAGCCGTGCTGCTTGTTCCGGAATATCAGCAGCTCGGGCCATCTGGCTAGCATTGAAACGGTGTTGAGCGGCAAGGACCTTAGAAACGCCAATGAACTTAGTTAGTATACGAGTGGAATCTATCGAGAGTGAGGGCATGTAGCTACTCCAGCTTGGGTCGATATATGCTTTTTGAAGGCCCGCGACATCTATACCGTTCGTGACTAACTGTCGTTTCTTCAAGAATTCTTGTTCGTTGAATTGGATGGTGACCTCGGCACCAGAGTTTGCCACTGTCACTGGCAAAACGGTACTGTAATAGCTGGACATGCAAACGTGGACGTTTAACGCCGATTGCTGGAAGGCATTGGCTGGCGAAGTCGAGTCCCAAGTATCACTGACATAGAGAACTTCATTGCCAGTGCAATTTGTGGAGACATTGACTGAGGCCGGTCCAGTCAATTCCAGCATCGATCGGATAACATCCGGGAAAGAAGAGAGGTCGGCCCAGAAACTTCCGCCCGTCAGGGATAACGCCGAAGCAGGACTTGACAGGTCTATTCTGCATCCATCGACAGATTCCATGGTAACGGATATATTCCCTAGGAAAGGGAAAATAGTACGATTACTGTGGTCGGAGAAGGTAACCATGTCAAGATGCTGGCAGTTAAAGTCGATACTGAATACGATACCTTCCACTTCCCAAGTCTGGCCCGTAGGTGGTAATCTCGAGCTCGACACAAAGTGGTTGGAGCTCGTAGGCCAAAACGGTAAGACAGTATATCGATCCGTGATCCAAGGGGATGTTGTTACGTTTTGGAGCACATTTCCTAGTGTCCGGAAGTACGTATCTCTTTCCAAGTGCACCGGTAGAACAGCATCTTGTTTCAATTCGGTCCGAGCAAATCCGACAGGTTGAGGAAGTCGAACGTTGTCAGGAGCCAGAAGTGCGGACGAGAGTGGGGAAATGATAAGAAAGGCGAAAACGTTGACAAGAGTTCCGAGTATGAGCAGCCAGCTCCTCCTTCCATCCTTCTTGCGAGAACCCTCAATCAGAGCAGTCCACCAGAACGTTGGGGCCTGCAGCAGTGTTGGCAAAGCTCCAGCCCCACCTGGCTTAGCGAGTCGCGCGAAGGGTTCTGTTCGTCTGATATCGTCAAAGAGCATTACTGTCAATTGGTTGTAGAGTACGGCAATAATCGTGGGGGTAAATCTCCAGCCGAAAAGAAGCACCGAGGAACCGTCGACCTTGCCTAGTCCGGAGTGTTTTTGCGAATACCAACACATCATAGAAATCACAAGACTAAGCGAGAATGACAGCGCGAGAGGAAGCCATATGAAGCCCCAGCGAAGAGTGTTCGGTAACCATCTCGCAACAGGGGACGCGTCTTTTCGATTCTCAACTGAATTTGGTGTGGCATCGGCTGGACGGCGAAGTTCCATCGAGTTTGGCTGTTCAAAGCTCTGTCGCCTTGATTGTGCAAGCTCAGGTGAGGTGCCATTCACAGGTTGAAGCCCTTCATGGCTTGCAGAAGGCCAAGTGTGGGACTCAAGGGTTGATACCGAGCTCTGAGAAAACGACGTCTCTGATGAAGTGTATAGTGATGCTGAACGGCCGTCGTCTATCTGAAGCTCTTGAGTCAAGACATTAGAATGAGGAGGTTGTCCGACAGAGACATTTTGGTCCAGGTTTTGAGAGCTAACCGAGGTGTTTTGCGGAAGAGGTTGGAGTATCCAGAATGGTTCTGTCATGGTCGTTGGAGGGGGTTGCGCTGCTCCGGAAACTGCCCTTGCACCACCAAAACACTTGCGCAGTTAACGATCGTGCAAATCGTACAGCAAACGCTCACATTATGAACCAACCCAACATCACCACAGAAGCCATGCAATACCACTCAAATGAAAACTCATCTGAGCCCGGATTGAAGATGGAGCGCCAAAGGCTGCATCCAATTGGCTGCTGGCTGTCCCTTGCATGCCCAGAAATGAGAGCCAGGGTTGGGACCATTGCGGCGAGGCGGACCGGCTAGAAAAGCATTGCGGCGCAGCGCTTCAAGGACGAATCAGACCTCTGAACCTGTCACGGGAGGACTAATATAGTCGGGCGTTTTCTGACGTCAACCCGGGGTTTTCGTACTGATCACTGCCCTTGTGTTTGATCTTCTCATATATGGGGCTAAATGCTCGTGAACTGCGAGTTGTGTCTCCTCATGTCTCAGACCCCAGTTCGCACGTGCGTCCAAACGTTGAATAGACGCGGCGATACACGAGCGACAAGTTAAACCCGAAGGCTTTGTAAAACAGTCTTCTTCTCCGCTTTCTAAGTCAAACGGGTCACACGGATTATTTAATAGGGGAACTCCGGACTCCTTTCCCGCCTACCTCAACCGCTCGTGCCCGGCAAGACTGTCATCATCCTCATCCGTTGGCGTAGATAATAATCCCCTCTCCTCACTCCCTGCGTCCTCCCCTTGGTCCCTCAGCACCCCTCTCCCAATGCCCGTACCTGTGTCCGCGTCTCTCTCATCCATACCATTCAGGACAAACCAGACATCCTTTTTCGTTAGCAGGCCTTTCAGTGTGCCTCTGTCGACAAACAGAACGTAGCGGAGGCCAAGCTTCTGGAACATGCTGATCGTGAGCTGGAAGCTAGCTTTTGCGTTAAGTGTTATAGGTGTTTGATCCATCCAGGGCCGTAAATCCAAGCTTGTCGTGGGATCTAAGAGGGGTTGGTGAGAGAAAAAGGCTTCGGTATCGTCGTTGAGGTTTCGGGGTGCGGAAAGCGCTGAGGAGAGGGCAAAAGCAAGTTCGGTGCGTGAGATGTAGCCAAGTAAAAGAGCATCTCTTGGATTATCAATGACCGGGAAACCTCGGAACTGATGTTGAATAAGCAGTTGGCGAAGGCTTTGAATTGTGTGGCCTGTGGCTGTGATGACCATGAGGTCTTCAATTCTTGTCATGACTTGTGCAGCGGGCACGTCCGGTATGGAGGAGCCATTGTCATCGCGATTATCTAGAAACGGATAGCCGTTGAAGTGAATCCAGGATTCGTAGATGCCTCGAGGTGAGATAGCATCGCCAACCCACTTGCTGATCATGACAGCGATCATGATAGGCAGGACGTATGTGAGAGCGCCAGTAAGCTCGAACATGATGACCACGATAGACACAGTCATCCTTGTAGCACCAGCGAGCGCCGAAGCAGCTCCAATGATGGCATACGTTCCTGGAGTGACGCAGGGTACATCGGGTTCACAAGATCCAAATACGAACACACCTGGCCAGGCCTGCTGGATTACTTGGACTGAAAGTCCAACCGCGCGGCCGTAGAGAGCGCCAATAGCCATGGATGGTAGAATAATTCCAGCCGGAATCTGAAGGCCAAAGGTGAAGCTTGCCAGAATGATACCCAGCATGGCCGAAACGAGTAACAAAGCCACCACACCTGTGTTTGCCTTTCCAGCTTTGCATAAACCAAGAGTGTCTTCGCTGAGGTCTACACATTCGGCAAACAGGACATAAACCAGTTCGGATGCTTGCGCCCTCATGAACTTGATAGGATAGTTCACAATTGCAGTGACCAAGGTGACGAGAACAACTTCCATGACGGGTCCCTTGACGATTGGTCGACTCTTCCGCCACTCTGCAACCTTCATGTTCAGCTTGATGAAGAGCCCTCCGTATGAGCCACCAAGAATTCCGAGAAAAGCGAAGGGGGCGAGCTCAAAGTCATGCCAACCGCTGTGATAGGTAACCTGGTAGAGAACGAGCTTACCAGTCCTGAAGGGGTTGAACGCCTGCAGAGTGACGGCGGCAACCATGGCACAGACAAAGCTTTGCCACATTGTTTTGTCAGGAAAATAGTACGACAATTGCTCGAGACTGAAGAGTACACCGCCGATAGGAGAGCCGAAAGCAACGGAAATGCCGGCTGCGGCCGCAGCTGAGAGCACTTCACGTTTTCGCGCTACCAAGATGTAAGTTAGGTAGCGAGGAGGTAAGACAGTCTAGCCTACCTTCGTTACTATTGACATTACTAAACATCTTCATGAAAAGGTTGGCACAGCAACATGCGACATGCACTAAAGGCCCTTCCTTGCCTAACCACAGGCCAGATGCAACAGCGAGACACTAGCTATGTGAGTAACAGGAGTAGAAATAGATGTGTAGGTTTCTCACCAAACCCAAAGTCTTCACAACCAATGTCCAGCCACCCAAGAAACGCCGGATGACGAAGCCACCAAGAACAGTCTTGATCTCAGCGATACCGCTGTGCTTCGCATAAGTGGAATATTCTCGTACGAGAAAACTTGCACCAGCTGCGAAAAGTATCTCGGACACGGTTAGCCGTAATGCTCGAAGATTGGGGAGGTAAAGTCTTACCGAAAACAGAATAAAGAAAATGTACTCAACAATCCAACCACCACCAACGGACTTTACACCTAAAGCACTGCTCCAAGGATGCCAATCATGACAGTGGGAGTATTCAGAGTACCCCCAACAACAGAATCCCTTGTTCAAGTAAAACCTCCCGTCTCCGTCGACGTTGCTGCAGTATCCGGTCTTCAGATCGGCCAGCCAGTCGCTAGCCACATCAATAAATGCTGCAATACCGCCGCTAAGAATTCCAGCGGCGATCAATATCAGCCATATCTGGCTGGCGTCTGCGAGCTGTTTTATGTATCCAAGAATGCCTGATGCGCTCGAGTAGAGGTAGCGGAGTCTCTGCCGTTCCTTGGCGTATTCGAAGATCCAATCGATGGCAGTGAGATCATCATATCCAACGCGTCGTCCCGGGCCCTCGACATACCAGTCCAGCCCATTTGCATCCTTTGCATCCTGCAGCTGCTCACCGGCGTTCCCTGGAGTGTCCAGGTAGTTTAAAATGAGCTCTGTTGAATCATTTGCACGAGGGTTGGTGCGAAGCTGCTCTAACCGGGATTGCGGTGATCGCCGCAAAGGAGACTGGTGGTTGCTATTCCCACCCAGAGGGGAGGAGAGGAATCGGGGGATGGAGAAAGGCGATGGGGTCGTAGCCTTCTGCTTGCGCTTAAATGAGATTCTGCAACACCTCTAGGTCAGCGACAACCACATCAGTGGGCAAGAATATAGAAACGGACTGTTCAGGTAGAGAATGCTCTGGCGGATCAGATGAGAGCAGCCCCTCAGTATCACTGAGATCATCTTCAACGGCTGGCTGCAGGTGCGCCCGGCTGGAGGACGCTTCGGCCTGTCCATGGGCGGACTGGCTTGATGACGAGCTTGACATCCCCTCGACATGTACTTAGCGGTGGAGACAGGGGCATCTTCCTATGCAGGCATGTCTGGAGGAGGTTGAGGGTTGGCGTGTTGAGGCAGCGACACCTGAAGTATGAAGACCTCAAACAAACAGCGCAAACTGTGGCTTGCGTCGAAATTCGCCATTGTTAGCTGTGGCTGCTGTGGCTGCTGTGGCTGCTGTGGCTGTCTACCGAATGTCTAGTTGGCCCGTGTCCGCAATACCCGAAAGCGAACCGTGGACCAGCAAGGTCGCCGCATCATCACAGTGCCACCCTCAAAACTACCCTAGAGGCGACAAACTTCATCTAAAACCACGTTAGACGTGTTGAATAATGCTCAATTTCTGTCGAAAAGGTGCTTCAAGCGTTTAGAGTGCTTAGATGTGCCGCTTTGAACCCTTTGCTGATATCGAGGTGTGTAGGTGTGCTAAGGTACCACGAAGTGGCAGACCCTCCCAACTCAACTGTCATGATACTAGCCTCCCATACAATCATCTACTCTTACGTGGCTTCTCAACCTCACATCTAATTATATTATTATTATTATTTTTGATTCCTTCTCTCCTCACACTCTAATCATGAACTGCATCCTCTCATCCGCAAACATCCTTTCCATCGCCCTACTCCATCCATCTCGATCGCTCTAAATGCCGTCACAAATAATTCCCAATGAAAATATCAGCATCCTCCTCGTTGGAGATTCCGGCGTCGAATACACCCTCACCTGGAAGCTCTCCCAGTCTCCTCGCGTGTCCCACATCTTCTGCTACCCCGGCAATGCAGGCGTGGAGAGCTTACCCAAAGTCAAGAATATCCAGAAGCACATTGACAGTTACTACCCAGCGTCCCTCAGGTATCAAGCTCTCGTCAGATTCGCTAAAGAGCATGTGATCAATCTGGCGGTACTTGGATTTCGCGAGGCCGTCTGCGATGGAGCCGAGGAACTTTTCCGGGAATGTAAGTCCTCCAGTACTATACCACTTCGAATTATCCAAGTGGTGGATTGAAATTGATGGGGATAGATGGTATCCCTTGTTTCGCCCCCACCGAAGCGGCAGCCCGTCTCGAAAGCAATCCTATCTTCGCAAAGGACTTTATGCAACGCCACGGTATCCCCACACCCAGCTTCAAGGTATTCAGCGGCTTCGTCCGAGCTGTCTCGCATCTCATGGAAGCGCGATACCCTGTTATCTTCCGAGGAGCTGAGCGATTCGTTCCCGGTCATGTCATCACGCCGGAGAGCCGAGCAGACCAAATATTGCAGTTATTGCAGGTTCGTAGACGCGGAGCATTTGAAGAGGAGCAAGGCATTGTTATTGAGCAGCGTCTGGAGGGACAAGAGATAAGTGCTCTTGCCATGAGTGATGGAAACCGCTTCTATGCCTTCCCAGCGGTGAAAGTCCTTCGAGGGCTTCAAGAAGTAAATGTTACCCCGAAGCTAACCGGCATGGCAACTTATATGTCAACTCCGTCGGAAAGGCTGCCACTTGACATCCAGAATCGCATTGTTCGAGACATCCTAGAGCCCACTTTTAGGGCTTTGAACAAAGAGGGTATGTTCAACCCCCAGAGCATTGGAAACTCGACTACACCATTACACGAATTAATATTGAACAGGGCGACCTTCCAAAGGCTGTTTGTCGGCCAACATTATCCTCACTACCAATGGTCCAAAACTGCTCGGCTACCGGACTGTATTTCCAGACCCAGAAACCCAGGCCATAATCCCACTTATTGACAAGAACACGGATCTGGCAGAGGTTCTTCTCGCTTGCGTAAACGGGACACTCGATAAGCTTCACGTCGGATTGAAAAAGAGATCTTTGTGCAGTGTTGCTCTCAGTGCAGATCAGAACAGAGCGTTCCCGGCGCAAGGAGAGCAGGCTAGAGATATAACTGATGTGCAATCATACCGTGAAATGAATCCCCAGGATTCGGACAAAGACCTTGTATTAGATGCGCGCATCTCTGCGCTCGAGAACGCATGGGAAGAAAAATGGGAGGGGGAGGAGGAAGAGGATGACTCAGCAAACAATGCATCCTCTTCTCCTGGGTTCGTATACTATTGGTTTGATGGAGACTACCAAGAACACACTGTGTTTCAGGCGTATGATAGCACATGGCAGTGCCACGAGTACCGAACGTATCGACCTTTCCCCGCGCCAATGCCTGAGGGAGAGAGGGGATATGGATGGACGACCTGGGGTGCGGTAGAGTGGTTCGAGGGGGTTATTAAAAGGAAGGAAGGCGAGGAAGCTTCGCCGGGGCTCAGGCGACAGGATACTCCCGCTGAAAGACTGTAGGAGAAGTAGCTACAACATTGAACATGACAAGAATAGAGTTAATCTGTTAGGCCTCTTGCTAGGACTAGGGCAAACGTTAGCAGGATACAAATCTCTATTCTAAATTAACCTCTATCATGCTCCACGCCAAGTGACAAGATGCAGCACAAGGCTGTTAATTTCCTGCATCTTTGAACATCCCTCTGTCCAGCATATTACCACAGAACATGGAACATGGCTAGGTTGGTGTTTATCTGTCAAGCGTCTTGCTAGAATGAGGGAGAGCATTATTAGTAAGATACTAAATTCTGTCCTAGAATACCCTGTAATGTTGTGATATGTTTAGAGAGAGGGCAGGAGATTGGCGCCAATAGATCCCTCGGCTACCTACCTATTCAGGTTAGCATCTCACGTGCCTTCGTGAAACTCTGACCCCATAATCCGAACCTTGCTCGTGACATTCTTCCTCCAACCCCGCGTTCCGCTCCACCCCACTCCCCGCATCTCGATCGGCAGTCAGTCTCATGCGGCTGCAGACATCGGATCAAGGGCAAGACTTAAATCCCCCTCCTCCTCTCCACAGATAAATGAAGACGGCCCGAAGTGCGGAAGCCTCCCGCCCCGCACACTCGTACCACGTCTCATGATAGCCTCGTAACACGATTCACAGACACTGAGTCGAGCTTAGACCGAGGAAGCTGACGAGATTGGGATTGAAGTAGATGCGGGTGGATCGTGGGTGGAGTGAGTAGGTCTTGCGATGTGCAGGTTTGTTGTCTTAAAGGTACACGGTATACCTTGCAGCATGTAACTCGATACAGAAACATCAGGTGTCGAGATAGAGATGCGTGTTCTGCTTCCGGCCAGTGATGCGTCAGTGCTAGTAGATTGGGTACATGGGCACAAAGTGATACGGCTAATTGTACAGCGGTGATGTTGCTGGAGGTGGTTTAGATGGAGGGGTAGCTTCTGCGGTTTCGCGCTTTCCGGCTCGGGCGCTGGGCAAGTTGCCATTTATCTCCCTCCAACCTGCTCCTTCCTCTCGTTCCTTTATTCTCCCGCTTGCTCGCTGTCTTCTCGCTTCCTTTCTATCTATCTCTCCCTATCTGTCCTTTTAACTGAGCCACTTAAATCTACTCCTCGCAGTCAATACCCCAACCAACCATGGCCGAAGCAAAAGAAGCAGTCTTCGACATCCCAAAAGAATGCAAGGCCGGAGTTGTCGTCAATGAAGGTCCCGACTTCCACGTCGAAGTGCAAATGGTGCCAGTTCCTGAAATCAGTAAAGCTATCCCTTCCCTCTTCTTCCCCCTCCCTCCCTCTCGACGTCTTCTCTCGGCCTTTTGTCTTACCACAAGCTGTATCCATCATCCTCGCCCTCTCGTGGCTCCCAACTCCGCTCAGCCAACTAACCATCTCATCTCTTACAGAACCTAATGAAGTCTTAATCAAGCTCAACGCAACGGGAATCTGCCACTCAGACATCCACTTCATGATAAACGACTGGGCGCTCCCTAAGATGAGTGTGTTCGGTACTAAGTGCGCGGGACACGAGGGTGCGGGCGTGATTGTGAAGGTGGGAAGTGATGTTAAGAATTTGAAGGTTGGAATGAGGGCTGGATATAAAGTAAATCCCCCCTCCTCTTCCCCCCGATCTCTACCCTACCAAACTTACTAAGGTTAACTTCCGATTTGCCATATACGACAAAGAGAGAAAGAGATATTTGCGCACATACTAATACTAACACCTTCCAGCCCATCCAAGACACCTGCGGCGTCTGCTCCCTCTGCCGATCCGACCTTGAATGCTACTGTGCAAAAGCCGTCCTCACCGGGCTCATGGTCGATGGCTCCTACAAACAATATATCGCCTCCCCAGAACGCTACACCACACTCCTCCCGGACGGCGTCTCCGACTACATAGCAGGTCCTATTATGTGCTCCGCCTCCACCATCTATACCTCGATCAAGGACTCCGGACTCCAACCCGGGGACTGGGCCGTCTTCCCAGGCGGCGGCGGCGGTGTCGGCATGCAAGGCGTGCAACTCGCAAAAGCCATGGGTCTGCGGGCCGTAGCCATCGACACCGGAACTGACAAGCAGAATCTGTGTCTCGAGACAGCAGGCGCGGAGCATTTTATTGACTTCAAAATAACACCTAACGTCGCGGAGGAAGTCGTCCGGCTTTGCGACGGGATCGGCGCACACGCGGTATTCGTGACGGCAGTACAGCAATACCCAACCGCCTTCTCTCTGCTCGGGACCAGAGTGGGTGGCAAGATCATGTGTATTGGACTCCCGCCAGCAGGAACCCAGCATATTGATGTTGATCCGAATCAGATGGTTTTTAGGAAGTGGAGTGTCCAGGGCACGCTCGTAAGTAATATGCGGGATGTGGATAAGACGTTGGATTTTGCGAAGAGGGGGCTTTTAAAGCCCATTTATACTGTTTATGGGATGAGCCAGTTTGATGAGGCTGTGCAGAAGCTGAGGAAAGGGGAGGTTGCGGGGAGGGCGGTTGTAGATTTTAATATGGAGTAGGCTGTATGGGAGAGAAGGGATTAGGTGGATAGTAGAGGTGGAAAACAAGATGGGTCTGGGAATGAATGTTGGAGTCACGAATGAGGGTTTTCCATGAAGCTGTCACATTATAAGGTATATATTATATGTAAGCATGAAAATTAGAAAATGGACAACATTACGCACACATCAGTTTGAAAACAGAACAGACCAAAGTTTTGTCACGCAGCAAACTGTCACAAGGGTAGCAACCTTGGGGTAAGCAAGCTCGGCATGAAGTATATCACACTCAGCTCGCCAAACCACAACTTGCTCTCATCTCACATAAACAACATCTAAAGAATTGAGGTAATAATTAGGCGAGAGTACGAACCGACAGACTCAGCTCAGACAATCCACCACCCATCCCGCACCACTTAATCCATGTACAGCTTGATGCCTTGAACAAACCCATGCCATCGTCGAAGCATACCATCGTTATCATGAATAGCCGTTCCCTGATGAACATTCGCCACTAAACGCCATGCACCGACCATGTAGGTGTTCCAAAAAAACAAAATAAACAAAATAAAACAATGTACCACCATGACCACTCCTCAATCTCCCTGCCATTCTATGCCTTCCCGCCATAACCCATTATGTAATACGCCGCGACTGCAACGCCTAGTACCAAAACCGCACCCGCACCCGCACCCGCGCCACTGGACATGCATTAGCTCTATGTAGAGCGAAGACGGAAAAGAAAAGAGTTTAGAAAAGGGTTGTTGTTTAGAAGCCTCGCTACGGAAATTGGCCATAGCGAATACTTCTATTCTCCCGGAAGATAAGATGCTCTCAGCTTACCTAGCTTGGTTCTTTCCGCCAAAGCAGGCGGCGAAGATGTTGCCAATCGGGGCGAAGACGATACCCAGGAAGGCGACGAGCCAGTTCTTCTTCTTATCTGGAGCGGGCTGGTGGAAGTCAGCAGGGGTTGGGGTCCGATTGTCCCCCTCCGCGCCTGGGGGGTAATGGTCCGCTGGATCCATCTCCCAGGCTCGTGGGGGTGCTGGTGTGATCTTCATGGAATCGCTAGTCGGCTGCCGGACATGTTTGCGTTCACTAGCCGAACCAGGGGCTGCCTCGGTGTCTTGCGACTCTATTTTCCTCTCTGGGGTCATCGGAGGAGTGAATGGATCGAGGGCTGTTGCGGGCCGAGCGATTGAATCATATAGTTTACCCCAGTCCTTGGAACCATCATTGGGGCCATTATGTTTCTGGACACCCTCGGCATCACTCTGACTGGCCTCCCTTTGTGTAGTCTTATCAGGTTCGCGATTTTGTTGTGTCTGGACAGCCGCAGCATTAGTGACTGGGGTCGCTTGGATATCGGTATGCTCCTCGGCCGCAGAAGGTGACGTGGTAGGCTCATCGGCTGGAGTTTCGGAGCTAACAACAGCTAGCTCCTCAACTGCGGCAGAGGGTTTGGCTGGCTCATCAGGAGATCCGGGACTGGGTACGACTGAGACTTCGGCAGACTGGGTCATAGCGGGTGTAGAATGCGCAACTACTGGGGATGGTAGGTCAGGCGAGCTGCCCGGCTCCGACCTTTCTTCAACGACAGATTCGAGACCGGTGCTCCGGGTAAGATCTACAGATGAACATGCTTGAGAAACTACAGATACAACAGGAGAATGAACTTCAAGATGAGACTCACGAGTTTGGTCCTCAGGCATCTGGCGGCCAATACTACTGACCCGCTCCAAAATCTCCTCGCGACCTATCGGGAACTGTTCGAGAGAAGGATCATGCAGATCCTCATCCTCTTCGTCCGACTTTGGTAGGATATCCGGGAGACCTCCTGTCGACGTCCTCTTTGCAAAAAATTTTCCGTTCGTAGTAGGCCTCTCATGCGGAAATGTTGGTGCACTGCTTTCTTTCAGTGGGCTGCTTGGCATAGAAGAGCTCGAGCTACCCTCGATGCTTGGTGGACTTGGAGACCGTTCGTGAGGGAGAAGAGGAGCTTCGGAGTCGTAACGCTCCTCGCCTATATTCTCATGAAGGAAGGTAGGAGCACGTTCGGACCCATAGGTTCCGTCCTCCAGACTATCCTCTTCCGTAGGCAAGTCTGAGCTATTATCAAGGTCGACACCTTCATCTTCACCACTAGCGGTATAACCTGAGAATCCAGACTCGTGGGATAATAACGGACCGTTGTCGAGCTCTCCAATAGACTCAGTTTCGACAGATGCGTTAAGCTCCTCGTCCTCTTCGGCGATGTTGCTCAGCTGTTGCTCCTCCTGTGACGCTGTGCGATCGGTTGAAGATGGCAGTGATTCTTCCTCAATGATGTCAATTGGATCCGACACAACAGCGCCGGTATCTTCGACCCCGAGGTCATCGAAAGTCTCGTGACGAAATAAGGGGAGGGATATGTCTTCCAATGTCCCAGATTCTACCTGAGGCTCTTGAGTGTCCAGGACATCAATATTTCTAACGTTGTCTTGAACAAAAGAGGAGTCCACAGGTTGGGAGTCCGAAGAAACTACTACTTCGTCTGGAGAGGCGTCGGCCGCCCTCTGCTCGTGAGCCATCTTCTGGGCAGTGGTGGCATGGTCCCCAAAATCGTCGCCATGCGAGGGCTCACCATCGGTCTTTTCAACGACAATGGTTGGAACAGAAGCTGGCTCTGGCTGGAGCCCAGTCTCAACTGGGAACTCGGGCTCGATCTGCTCGAAGTCAGGTTCGGCATCAGCTGTGCGTTTTGACGAGTCCTCATGAAGGCTATCCGACTCAATGTCGCCGTATTGAGGCGGGTCTTGGTCGGGCACCTTCTCAACGACCGTGAAAGGAACTGGGACGCTAGTAGCCTGATCCTTATGTGCAGGGGTGGACGGCTCCTTGGCATCGTTTTCGGACAGCAAGGGCGTCTCTTCCTCCGCCTGAGCTAGCGGAGCGGGTTCAAGCTCTGGTTTTGAAGCGAGGACGCCACACTGAGCAGAGTCTTCTTGAAGGGCGTTTGCTGAAACGACTGCGGAAGGGACAGAGTCAGTATCGGCTTTCACATAGATCACATTGTTTCGGTTGCCAGCATCGTCAGTAGCTAATAGCGCGAGCAACGGTTAGCATGACTGTCGCTTGCGGGTTGTATTGAGGCCATATTACCCGCATCCTTGGACTCGTCTACAACCCAGAAGCCATCGCCAATGCGAATCTTGTACTGGTAAATGCCGGCGGGGACGTGGTCGAACTGTTTGGTAAAGACGAGGTCGCCAGCCTCAGTCTTGCTGTCACTGACGCTCATTTCTAATGCGTCCCACGGCGGAGTGCTAAGGGAGGTTACGACGTAGACGGGGGGCTGGATGCCCGCCTGGGTGAACGTGATGGTGGCGCGGGTGGCCATTTTGATAGGCGACGGTGCAGTAGAAGTAGAAACGATGGGACGCAACGTCTGGGTCGACTTTCGTCGCGAAAGGCGGGGAGAGGGGTCAGATTCTCGGCGTGGGGAAGCACGAGAAGATCCTAAGGCGGCTGGCTCGCTGCGAGGAGAAATATCGTCAGTGGTTACCGATACTTTTGATTTGTGTCCTGGCCACAAAGCCCGAATGTGCTTGCGATGGGGACGGTGTTTGAGAAAGCTCATGGCAGAGGGAGACGGAAAAATAGGTAGAGCATGGGCACAGGAGGTTTGTTGAGTGTCGTGAGACCAGAAACTTACCGCGAGCAATGACAGAGGAAGCTGTACGAGAGCCAACGGAATTGGAAGCGGGCAGGCACGATAAGGGTTGTCGTGCCTTCGGTGGCCTGGGGGGGGGTGTGAGGAAGGAGAAAATAAGTGTTGTGGAAGAGTGAGGAAAAGGCGGAGTGAAAGAGGAAGAAGGTGTTCACCGTCAGACGCTCTTCCCTATCTTCCCGTGTGGTGGTGTGCGGCGGAGCAGGGATTGTGGGCAGTAGCTTGCAGCCCTCCTGCCGTTCTGCAGCTCCAATACTTCCCTTTGCGCAGTTACGATGGCAATTTAGAGCTTCAATTCACTCCTTACAGCTCCGCACCCCCTCCGTCAACACATGCAGCCCCCCCTAGCCCCCCTCTGTTGCGTTGTCGTGCGGGCACCTCAGTGACGTGACCTTTGTTTCGCAAAATGAAGCTTTGGGCACCTCCTGGCGTCCGTGGCGGCCGTTGGAGTGCCATTTCAGCCACCGCTTTAACTGCATTGAGGTGGCCCTGCGCGGATCCTTCAAGCAACACCATGAACTTGTTTTTGCCATGTCGATCTCATCGAATTTCTTCCCCCTGAGCTGTCTTCTTGGACGGTGTTGAGGGACTACAATACTTAGATGGCAAGGGGTGGCACAACCTTTGGAAGCCAAGAACCGCTTCCGCCAAAGCTTTCCACCCCCGCAGCTCGCGTGTCCTATTCACATGCTCTGCATGTCGGCCTACCACTTCTCCAAACTTTGTGAAGGTTCTAGACTCCCTCGACCATAGGCAAGGGGCTGTATTGGGTGACACGTTCATTGTTCGTACACATCGGACTTAGAACGCTGCATCCAGTCGGATGTGACAGCCCGCAGCCCGCAGCCCACAACTGCCCAATACACCGGGAAAACTGACATATGCAGTACCAGAGCCGTCCATCCAGAAATCTTGTTCGCGCCATTGCTGGACTAGAAACCTCTGGCTCCATGAACGCAGTCCTTCCAACCCAACGCGCAACGAGCCCAGCTCCAAGCTACCTCTCTTGTTCTTGATATTTGAATAGATGAGCCGGTACGCAAAATCATGTCAAGCTCTTCTTTCGAACGCGACCTATAGCAGTCGCCCGCTGCCAACTCCTCAAGCACATCGGAACACTGCTTTGCCGGGAATTAAAGCGAGAGGCTGCACCCAGGACCAAATCTCCGGCAATACTTGTCCCAGTACTCCCTAGAACTGGGATTGCTCGTATGCGGTTTACGACCTTCCCTAGTCCTCGCGCAAGCTTGGTCAACCACCGGAATTGCTCCTCCAGTTAAGGATACCTTCTCTAGTCGAGCAGATTCGCCTGCCGTCTTCGCAATGCCAATGTCGTGTCCTGACCGACACCTTATACGCTTTCAATTCATTCCCCATCAGTGTCTTGCGCATCATCATCATCATCAGAGAATTTCAAGTGCTTTGGGTGGTCCCCTTTCCCGATCCGCTAGATGTGGAGCAGCTCGGCAACGCCTGAAGCCCCAGCTCTCGCGCGGCCTCGTAAGTGTGCGTATGCGCGCTGGAGCCATTGATCAGTAGGAAGCAAACCCAGACCCTACCTGTTTTAGAAGAGGGCTCAGGCTTGGTACCTACGCTGCTACTATTCCGATGTTGACCTTGACCTGTGACTGGAGAGGCACAAACACCCACTTCCTTCTATATGTCGGCTAGTCCAAAAGAGGCAGTCTCCTAAAAACATACCAGGCCGTATCCGCCTCCAGCCAAGATTGGGGGCGGAATATGTGGAGCAGGCTCCATTCTCCAGTTCTCAAGGCGAACACATCTGGGCAGAAACTCCAAGGAGCAAGAACCGGCTCTTGAAAATTACTTTAAAATGGCACGCCCAATTTTTGACCCTTTCGCAGCAAGGGAACCGCAAGGCCTAAGTATTTGCATGATCGCACACGTGATATCGTTTCCGTGGAACCGCGAGATGCATGGAGGAGTCGTGTGCTGCTTTTCCGGTATTAGGGTTAGCACTAGCGAGCGATGAGCTCCAGTTTTTAGAGTCTACTTGATATGTAGCTCACTCACCAGACTTGTCTCGCTCGAGGACGCACTCCAGTGCTTCTTGGTCGGTTTAATGTTAATCCTGCAGCGGCGCTGCTGGGCTAGACTTTGTAAATTTTCGTGCTAGAGCTGCTATCAGTTTGACCTTCTGGAAGGCTTGGCAGAGAACTATTAGCAGATTTCTCATCTCCAAACACCTCAACACATTCAGCCCTGGGGCAGTGATTAAATATGATGTCTAAAATGAGGAGCTTTCATCACTGCGAGAACCTATTTCTCGCTTGGTTGCTTCCTAGCTCTGAGAAACCGTCCTTGGATTTCGTGTCCATTTCCCCTTCCACCAACCGGCATCTTGGGACGGAGTTGTCGCCTCGTTTCAGCCCGCTTCACTTCGAACCACTTTCCTGGGACGCAGGAAATCCCTTTCCCCAGATCGGGATCTTCCCGTGAATATGAATTTCTGCCATAGGTTGAATTCTGAGGACCTACGCCTTTTCTTCAAGACGGGAACTTGGCATGTTCCGTCGAAGACATCATTCGAAAGCATTCAAAAAACTAAATCTACAAATGAGTCGGTCAACTCAGTTATGTTCGTTAACCTCGTGTTTGCGTCCAAATCCATGGATCAGTCCCAAGACTTTCCGAAATCCCCGCGCGACATCCCTTTCCTGCGCAATGGCAGCAGGTGCATATGCAGCGCCACGCAGGTCTTGTGCAGCCTGGCATTTGCCAAGCCTTTCTCTTGCTCCTCCTCCGTTACTTTTGGAAGGCCGCGCCTCGAAGTTTGCGTCTAGATATTAGACAACGACCTTAGGACAGACCGCCATTCCCTTTCCGGAAAATGTCCCAGGTTCGGAGCCACTGAAGTGTAATAGAAATTCAGCAAAGAGATGCAGTTCCTAGGGCATTGAGTCTAATTTCTTATTGGACTGGGAAGAACAAACGCGGAGACCCGCAATGTTCCACGTGGGGGTCGATCTTGGCATGCATGATGGCTCGCATCCTCTCAACTTCCCTGTGTCGATCCTAAGGATTCTTGCCGGGGCGTACCGATGGACGGGATTCGTGGCGTCAAGCATCGTAAACTGCCAAGCCTAAATATTGAAGGCTCTGGAGCAGAGGAGTTTAATGATTGCCGGAGGCAATTTCGCATATTAAGCTCTCGTCAAGCAGTTTGCCTGTTTATCGTCCATTTGCGATCAATCGGAAGAGCTTGGTGTAGCTCCTGGCGAAAACCCAACATTTACATTGCGTCTTCATTGACGTTTGCACCCCTTGGTTGGTGTTTGCTCAGAGAGTCGATTGTCTCGCAAAACATAACGTCGCATTAGGTATCTCCCATAGCAAAACGGGTACGAAGTTTGGAATGAATCAAGAATGTTGAGCGGAGGGTATTTATTAAGCTGGAGATAACACAGATCCGCGCTCATCCCTCGGTCTTTCCCAATATCCGACCTCGCTGACTTTCTCACAGCTCGCCCGGCCTCCTAACGCCTGCTCGGCCTGTATCAGCATCTAAAACCGGCCACATACTTATCACCGAGGCTTCATTCAACATCCACCCCCTCCATCGTACAACGATATATAAGAATTGCGCGTCTTCGTAGATACCGACAACAAGCTAGAAACGGTGAACCAATGCTATTCGTCCCCGATCCAAAAAACCTGTAGGTAACCGCAAATCATGGAAAGGGCGGGATACGACCTCGGCCGAGACGAATAAAGAGCGAGAATGGGGCTCAACATGACGACAGGAGGAATTTCTCATGCATAGCTAGAGAGCGTATGTTTGTAGAAAATAAATTGGTAAGTAGGACTATACGACATTTTATATTCGTACATTCAGACTCTTCTGGCTTCGAGCTCAAGCAGTGTTCTTTTCTGAATTAATCTACACTTACAAGCGTTCAATGGAAATCATTTTCCTCTCTATTTTCGTTCTCTCAACCTATTTCTCGCCTTGTGCTACATAGCTCCAAAATGGCCCGAGAATCCATGGGACCAGGAAATGGAGTCTCTGGAAGTAACGCCGGACGAAGAATATACTTGCCTAATGGATTACAACCTCCGCTCGGACCCACACCAAGAGTCTCAGAACAAACATTAGAGCCCTCTGAAATGCCCGAGTCTGCCTCTTCTCAACAACAGGATGATTTCGATGATGAGAAGAGCCTCGATGATGGCAAATCTTCCCTTGTTCTCGGGGTCGGTGATTCTATGCGTTCAACAAGTAGTAGCACCATTCCTACCGAGCCTATCGTACCTGCAAGTCGGCATATCAGCGCTCAGGAGCAGTCTTCTATCCACTATACGTGATCTCATATCTCACAGCCTAGGGCGGTCGAAGAGCAGTCAGATCCAGAACGAGATGTCGAGAAGAACACTACAAATGGTGAGGCCCAAAATCGAGATCCAAATTTGATAGTCTGGGACGACCCAAGCGATCCGGTGAACCCAATGAATTGGCCGCGCTGGAAGAAATGGAATGTCACAATGCTACTCGGTCTAATAACCATCTGCATAACATTTGCAAGCAGTGTTCAGCACGGCTACTGTCTCTGCGGCTAAGAAGTTTGGTGTGTCTAATGAAGTCATGGTCCTAGGGACTTCACTGTTCGTTCTGGTAAGCAACCTCTGATACATCTACAAGTCCGTTATAGATCCTAATATGCCTAGGGCTTTGCCGTCGGCCCACCTGTCTGGGGTCCTCTCTCCGAACTTTACGGTCGTAAGATCCCCCTCTTTACCGGCTTCTTCATCTTCGCTATCTTCCAAATCCCCGTCGCTGTGGCCCAGAACCTTCAAGCCATTATGCTATACCGTTTCTTCGGCGGCGTCTTCGGATCCGCTCCCCTAGGCACCGTTGGCGGCACCTTAACCGACTTCTGGGGTCCCGTTGATAGAGGCGTCGCCATGGCCATCTTCGCAGGCGCAACCTTCATCGGCCCCGCCGCCGGCCCCATCGTCGGCGGCTTCATAGTCCAGAGCCATCTCGGCTGGCGCCGGACAGAGTACCTCACAGCCATAATGTCCTTCTTCTTTGGTACCATCGACCTGCTCTTCGTCCCTGAATCACCCTGCGACTCTCCTCTCCACCCGCGCGAAGAAAATCCGCCACGAAACCCGCAACTGGGCTGTCCACGCTTTGTCCGACGAACAGCAAGTCGACCTCCATTCCATTGCACAGAAATACCTCATTCGTCCCTTCGCCATGCTCGCCCTGGAGCCAATCCTCGATCTCGTAACCCTGTACATGTCCCTCATCTACGGCACCCTATACCTCTTCTTCGAAGTCTATCCGATCGCTTTCCAAGAACAACGAGGTTGGAACTCGGGCGTCGGCGCCCTCCCCTTTCTCAGCATCACCATCGGCGTACTCCTTGGCGGCGTGATCATCGTCTGGACCTCCAAAACGCGATTCGCACGCAAGCTCGAGAAACACGGGCGCATTGTACCCGAGGAACGCCTGATTCCCATGATCATAGGCGGCGCCTTGTTTCCGATCGGGATGTTCTGGTTTGCGTGGACAGCCGATAAGGATATAACTTGGGTGCCACAGGTTGTTGCTGGGATTCCGATTGGAGCGGGGAGTCTCGATGATTTTCCTCCAGGGGCTGGATTATATTATCGATTGCTATTTGATATATGCGAACAGTGCGATTGCAGCAAATACGTTTGTGAGGAGTTTGTTTGGAGCGGGGTTTCCGCTCTTTGCTACTGCGATATGAGTTGAATCCTCTTTGTAGTAGTTTGTTGAGAGACGGTGTACTCACTAGATGATCAGGTATCATACCCTAGGCGTCAATTGGTCAAGGAGCTTGTTAGGGTTTTTGACCGCTGCTCTGTTTCCTGTGCCGATTTTGTTCTACTTTTATGGTTCGAGGATTCGGGCTATGTCAGGGTATGCTCCCTCCAGGTAGCGTAACAGCGCCTCAGGAGGTTTAGTAGGTATCGTTGGTAAAGTACATAGAAGGTTAATTACTTGTGAAATGGAAGATTCTTATATGCATGGACCTGTATAGTAGCTACGTGATCCAGTATAATCCATAGCCAAAACGTTTCAGCTCTACATTGAGGTCACTCACCAACCAACATAATCAAGCTTCACGGAATCGCTGGCTCCTGTAAGTGATCTCTCTTCTCACCTATAGAACACGCCCTGCGCTCTTATTCTCTCTCAGCTACGTGACCTCTATTCACAATCACAGCATAGTACTCTCAGCTCTCTCAAAAATACTTCGCACTACACAGCATCACCAACATGGACGTCAATACTCAGCGTATCACTGCCGCACCATTGAACGATAACCATTCAGGATAAGGCGAAGGCAATTCATCCACCACACCATCTTCTACAGCTCCAAGTACTTTTCTCCTTCTCCCGACGCTAGCGCTCCAAAGCAGACATCCGATTCCGCCGGCATCCGGACTTCCCACTGAGCACCGAATCCATACTCCGCGAAGAACTCCTACAACCCATGCCTTTGTAAAATCCACATCCACAACTTGGCAAATTTATACGCTGGCTACCTGCCCTCCGACCTCTAGCCCAAGTACTGTTCAGATGCGAGACTTCCCCTGTTGAAGGGATCAGCGTCGAAATCTGCATATTCATAGTACCGAGGCGGCTTTAATAAGAGATGGAGAGCCGCTGTACGAGTACGAGTGGAAGCAACCGCGGGTGGCCGGCCACCCAACGCTATTGAAGGACACCACGCGGCACTGTAAGGGGTTAACTCTTCAGCGGGCGAAGAGCGGTTGTGTGGTGGACCTGGAGGAGGAGGAGGAGGAGGAGGAGGAGGATGGGGCGGTGGTGGATAAAGATCATACAGCAGTGGGGTATATTAACAGGCGGGCCAGAAAGGTTGCAAGGAGTTGTAGGGAATCTGGGGACCTTTTGTGGACAGCGGATGGAGTAGATTTCTTGTCCTTCTTTGTGCAGGAGTTCTTTTATAAAGCGCAGCATCGCGTAGACACCTAACAAGGTTCCTGTCCAATACTTTCTATACCAAGAGTCTAGGCTGTGTTTCGGGAACAGCCTACATATCCACCCCCCCGCTGTTCTAACCTGCTAGGTTAAATACTTGTCTTTGTGCCGGAAATTGTGAGTCAGATTCTACAATATTCACCACCTCAGAAAAAACCCTTCAATCATATGCGCAAATCTTTACAAACCCTTCCATTACTACAACGCCACATCAATAAAACAGTAAGGGGCCTCTCTACGTCTTACCGCAATCCCCTAATCCTCCCAAACCATCACTCTCCCTCCACAAAAACTAGCGCTCAGCACGGCAACACTTCCTCCCCACCCTCATCTCCCATCCCTAAACTCGGAATCCCCCCACTACACCCACTTCAACAAGTTCCGATCTGTCGACCTGGACCCCAGATTATATGAGAATGGTGGTGAGCTATTCTTGTAGGCGAGCCCTTGTAACCTTTCTGTCAGCCCGGGCGCTCGTAGAAGTGTATGATCGTGCCCAAATTCTGGGCCGAACCTAAGTTTTCGTATTTGTGAGGATTATATTAAGATCCTCTCTTGTATTCCGGCGGGCTTTCGCGAGCATATTGATTGTCTGCTCTAATCGCTTGGCAAGAGGAGTGGTTTTATAGTTTGGACGGTAGGCATCGATGGTGACATTGATATATTTGAAAGTTGAGCGAGTCCCACCCAATCGCATTTCGCGTTCGCGCAGCCCACCTGTAGGTCGTGCGTAATCTTTCCAACGACTACCAAATTGCTAACACCTACTCCAAAGGACATTTTAATGAATCGAAGTAAAGGTACCGTGTGTCATAAGTGAGGGGAGAGATGAGGTGAAATGCTGCAAAATATAATTTTGAAGTTGATTGGGGAAATTGTAACAATTTTCTAGGATTTCTAGGTAGGTATGCCAGGGGCGAGATAAGATGGTTGGTTCATCCTGCTGAGCTGAAGTTCTGGTGATTTATGAAGACATTTTACGCAAGCCACAACTGAACTCAGCAAGTCGCACCACCTCTTCCTATGCTCGATGAGACAGATAGTGGCTTGAAACTGAGAACGCACTCTCTTTGACAGGAGCCCTTCCTATTGGCGAGGGCATGAAACGACATAAGAGAGGAGCTCGCACCATGAAGTATAACTATGTAAATTCTAGTTGACGCTGAATACCCATTCTTTAATTCAGGAGCGAGACCTCAAGACGTGTCCCATCTTTAAAAGACCCGATAGGTGTGGAATGATTGAGGTAGGATTCGTACAACTCACTTTTGGATTGAATTGACTGCCTTTGGGATTTGGACATAGGAACTAATGGAACAACTGGGAGCTACACCTTGCAGATCCGAATACATTGGATCCTATTGTAATTTGCTTACTGTACAAACAGCCAATAGTACTAACTCGTGGAGATTCCATAGAAAACTGAAAAACTGATCAGTCAGTGCAGGTAGCCAGCCGACGTGGGAAGATCCCCTAGCTGTCCCATCGGATTTGAAAGGACACATTATGCCTCACAGATTGAGTCACTCTCGTTCGAGGTAGCAACTGACTTCGGAACGGATCCTTGCAAGATGTAGGGGAGACGTCGAAGAATACGGACTCCTGGTGATAATTAAGGGGGGTTCTAGGGATGTTAGCTACATGCGGTCCGACAAGCTTTAGGGTGAAGACAAACGAAGTAATACTACTAACCATTCTTATCCAGGCTGGACGATCCGAATACCGTATGTGCCTCTCACCTGTGATCTTTAGATCTTCACCAGTTTTCCCTGTGTCGCTCATCCTTGCTACGTACAACACAAGCCCTATACATACCATCCTCATCGGCTCCCAGGCGCCGACTCCCACAAATTGATGAAGGGGGCGTATCTACGATAGGGGGTCAGATATTTGGGGTTCCTCAAGAGCAACGAAAAGAAATTTTGGAGAATATTGGGGTATAGTTTGCAGAGTGTTTGAGCAACTCAAGCTGATGAACAAACTGGTATATATGCATAATGAAAAAGATGGTAAAAGAGTAAGGGAAATCGAGGACAAACCGGGTATAATAGATAGTCATCATCCCTTCATATCATGATTTTGTCCCAATCCCTTTCTTCGACATCAATCCGATTCGCTCTCCACAACCTCCACCTCCTCTCCATTATCCTCATCCATAGCATCCACCTCGCCCTGCAACGGACTCTCCCTCACATCCAGTAAATCCAAATCCTCCAACTGGCTCCTTGGCGGCATTCTCCAAAGACTCGTCGCACAGACCCTCTCTTTCGTCAACAAATCGTCTACAAACTGATCCATGTACGTCATAGCATATCCCTCCTTCGTCTTGCGTTTCAACTTGCGGTAATCCGAAAGCAGAGGCTCCAGAGTATTATAAATCTCGACCGGCTCCCATGCAAGCCGAATATAGAACGCCGCGAGCGCTCGAAGATATTTAAACGCGCCCCGCTTACCGGCGGCTTCAGGATCTTGCACCCGTCCTCCATTCATAATACCATTGTCTCCATCCTCATCCCCTTCTCCTTCTCCATTCCGTTCAGCTTTATCCCCTTCGTTATCACTTTCCTCCCCATCATCCTCGAAATTCAAATACTCGAATATGACACTCTTATCTGGCACCAGCTGTATTAACTTAAACGCCAGACACAAAAAAGGCGTAGGCTTTCCATTCACGCCCGTCGTGCCACCGATGAATTTTATCTGCGCAGCGCGGTCACATAGTGTGGCTTCATTGAGGCCGAAGCATTGCTCTTTCCAGTAGTAGGACTGCGTTATGCGGTTGCGGACGCCAGTTTCGAAAAGCAGGGCGGGGTTTTGACCGCGGATGAGTCGTCCACCGTAGCCGCGGTCGTCGAGGAGTTTTGATGCGTCGGCTTTATGGTGGGCCATTTGCTTAAGTTGTGTTGAGGGCGGTGTTGGGTTGATGAAGCGGGAGAGGAAGACGTCCAACGTTGCATAGCGAAATTCATATTCACGCCAAGACCCTTATCGATAATCGCCCACGCGACCTGGGTGAGAGAGTAAATAATCAGCCCTACGGAATATGGGTTACAAACGCCACACCAATACTCACCATTTACATACTTTGCATGAGCTTGCTTCTACGAATTCATACATTTACGATCCCAGATTGGCATATTATTGCACGATTACACTCTCAGTATGCTGCTCACTTCCGGGCAGGTCTCCATCCTCCTATCTTCTGTTATTGGTGCGTTCACTAGATATTCCGGGAAAAAGGGGACTGAAGTTAACTTGTATTAGTATTTTTATTCACACTCGCTCTCTTCCTCTCAGGCTACGTCCTGCAGCAGAGAACAGTGCATAGCCTGCAAGCAGCCATAAAACCGCGACTACCCAAACCTCTGCCCGCTCCAGTACCAGTTGCGCCTCCCACACTAGACGTCAAATGGGCAAGACCAATAGGGGCGCGCCCGGATGTCGACGAGACATACGAACAGTATATGCGAGAGCAGGCGCTCAATTGGAATCGGCTAGGCTATGTGCAGATGGTGAAGGAACATGTGGAGGTGTGCAGTGCAGTGATGCTGCTCGGCGATTTGCATAAGATGAAGAGTCCGGCGAAGCGGATCCTCCTGTTTCCCCGCATATGGCTGAAGAAAACGGAGGATGATGAATTCAACCCGCACTTGATAACGACGAAGAGACTGCTGCGGACTGCGGTGAGGCGGTATGGCGTCGTGTTGATCCCAATGGAGACCATTGTTGATGGTGCAGACGGTGAGTGTTCCGGTGTAAGGTGGTCCCTTGCAGAAACTTCAGCAGCTAACCGTCGACCTGCTTAGCCTCGTTGCCGTCTTCCTATTCTCTGGCAAGCCTGTATTCTCTCACCAACTATGAGCGGGTCATCTATCTCCAAGGACCGGGCACACTGCTCGATGCATCAGCACTAGACTCGCTGCTGGCCTTTTCGAAGTCAGAACCAATGGCTGCGTTTCCAGCATCTGCGGACAGGAAAGCGCTATCGACATTGCTTCTTCTCATTCATCCGTCGGCGGAGGACTTTGGACGGTTAAAGGAATTGCGTTCGTCACGACCCCTGACTGACCTGGAACTGTTCAGAAAATCCTTCGCCGCACCAGAGTCGCTACTTTCGCAGTGGTCTCTCTCCATGGGCAATGTCGTGTATGAGTCGCAGAATCTGCGTAATGCAATCGACGGCTTTAATGCGACTATTTTCGAGGATGCGACGACATATGTGCGGTTTTCGGACCCCGAAATTCCTGGTCCAGAGTACGATGTGCCATACTATGACAGAGTAGCGCTACGACCAAAGAACGACGAGGCAAGGGCAGCCTGGGAGAAGCTGTATGAGCGCTTCCGACAGCGACGCATGGAGATCTGCGGCCTCGACCTTGAGGTGTGGACAAAGCCCATGCTGCAGGCGGGAAGCGCCGACGAAGAAGATGTGCAGGAGCTGTGAAGTATTTTCAATCAGTGCTAGAAGGATTTTCAGGATCGGTCTGGATGGATAGGCAGCATGGATATTAATGGCGTTCGGGGGGCAACATTGCTTATGATCTGTTAGGTCTAGATGATATTGGGGGTTACCAGGACGGGGCATCGCGGGCAGCATCAGGCATGACGCAAAGATCAGTGCATCTCGCTCGTCTAACACTGTGCGATGCTCCCAAACGCAGTCGGGATGGCGCTGTTGGAGATGACAAACGGGCTTGACCGCCAGCGACGAGCGGTACCACAGTATATACATGGCGGCGAGTGGTGCCTAATATTGATATTGAAAATCCACGACTGCCGCACCATGAACTGCCTTTTGCCTGCCCCTGCGACATGTTTCTTTCACAGGCAGACAGGCACTGAGGCCCGATCCACGACCGCCTAGCCTGCCAATCGGTCCTGGCCAAGCTCCTTCCCCGCTGCAACCCAGCAACCTCAACTCCGCGACCCAGCCCTCTCCCACCAGGTCAGCCCTCTCCACCCGCGCATCACCACCACAGCCTATCCCTATCCCTATGCCCTGTCTCATTGCTGCGAAGGCCTCAATTCCTACAACCCTCCTCCGCTAGCTGCCATTGTCTCCAGCCGCTGGTGCCTGCGCATTCGGCTCCCGCTCCCGCCGCCTCTCTCGTCCGCGCTGCGGCTCCCAGGGTTGACGAGCCAGGGCTGGGCAGCATTCCTCTACCGCCGCTCTTATGCCGACTCTCGGATTCCTCAAGAAGAAGCGGACGAAGGACTCGACGGGATCCAGGGACCTCGACTCGCCCACTTCGCCCATCAAGGAAACCGCGTCGCCCATCACCCCGATCACCTCTAAGACGCTGTCTAGCTCCTTTACCCACAGCAGCAAGACCGCCACCACCCACGAGTCGACCGCTGCATCCCACTCCACGCAGGCGTCAACCGCCCCGTCCAAGGTCGCCGACTCCATGAACCCCTCCGCCTACCCGCAGCAGGCCTATGCGACCCCGCAAGCGTCTCCCGAGCCCTACCAGCAGTCCTCACACAATGTCCCAAGCATACAGAACCTCATACATCCATCCAACTCGAACCAGTTGTACCAGAACCAGCAGCAGCGGCCCATCGAGCAGAGGGCTGCGAATGGCGCCGTCACGCAGCAATCGCAGCCCACACAGCCTCAAGTCCGCGCCACAAAGGGAAAATACACGCTCAGTGACTTTACAATCCAGCGGACGCTGGGCACGGGTAGCTTCGGTCGGGTACATCTCGTCCAGTCCAAGCACAATCAGCGATTCTACGCCGTCAAGGTGCTGAAGAAGGCCCAGGTGGTCAAGATGAAGCAAGTTGAACACACCAATGACGAGCGCCGCATGCTGCAGCAAGTTAAGCATCCCTTTTTGATCACTCTCTGGGGCACCTTTCAGGATTCGAAAAATCTATACATGGTCATGGACTTCGTCGAGGGTGGTGAGCTCTTCAGTCTGCTGCGAAAATCTCAGGTGAGTCTATGAATTACTGTCCCGTACCCGCTCTTACCTTTTAAAGCGTTTCCCCAATCCCGTCGCCAAATTCTACGCCGCCGAAGTCACGCTCGCGCTTGATTACCTCCACCAGCAGAACATTATCTACCGCGATCTCAAGCCCGAAAACCTACTTCTTGACAGACATGGGCATCTAAAGATTACCGATTTTGGCTTTGCCAAAGAAGTGCCAGACATCACCTGGACGTTGTGTGGAACTCCTGATTACCTAGCCCCGGAGGTAGTGGCATCGAAAGGGTACAACAAGTCGGTCGACTGGTGGGTTCTTTGTCTGTCTCCGCACCCACATGTGATTCTTACAGCTCAATAGGTGGTCTCTCGGCATCCTCATCTTCGAAATGCTCTGTGGCTTCACTCCTTTCTGGGATGGCGGGTCGCCCATGAAGATTTACGAAAACATCCTGAAAGGGCGGGTGAAATACCCCTCATACATCCACCCAGACGCCCAAGACCTGCTGCAGAAGCTCATCACACCAGACCTGACTAAGCGACTCGGAAATCTCCACGCAGGCAGCAAAGACGTGATGAACCATCCGTGGTTTGCTGAGGTGACGTGGGAACGGTTGCAGAAGAAGGATATTGATGCGCCGTATGTACCGCCTGTTCGAGCGGGTGTTGGCGATGCAAGTCAGTTCGACAAGTATCCGGAAGAAACAGAAGCATATGGACAGACTGGAGAAGATCCGTACGTAGAATCCTCCAATTGTGGCTTTCAGAAACTAACTTGCTATGCCAGGCATGGACATTTGTTCCCTGACTTCTAAGCCGTTCGATGCAAGTGAACGCAATTCGACTTCAATCGCCGCATCATCGCGCGAACTACACTGCATGCAGTTTGAAGCGCTATCTCCTTGGTCACAAGGCCTTTGACGTGGCCAACTTGCACTGCTTGCCACTGCATTCCCTCTTCACGTACGCAAGCTTCTTCACTACCAATCAAAGAAAAATTCAGCGGACCTGTAGGATCCTTGTACTTTTGCAATGACTTCTGTTCCACTTTCTTCTCTTCTTTCTTCAAGTCTGCAGTCTGCTTTTGACTCTGACTTACGTTTGGCTCAACCTTAAGGATAGGCGCCGTCTTGAGTGGCATTTGAATTACGGCTAAGGACAGGTGGATAGGTGGAGGAATGAATGGGTGGGTGAATGAGTGAATGGATTGCGGGGATTGTGGAGACTTAGGATTTCCGTTTAAGGATTCATGGGCTTCGGAGGGCCTGGGCTGGGCCTACTCGAATGTTTGGTAGGATTGTGGAGTGCATTGAAAATCGGGAGTTGCGATAAGATCCCTATTATTGGATTGGATGAACGCTATTATCACTCCATGTTGACAATGATACGACTGAAGACGACTGAGGACATGTGAAAGGGAGTTTAAACAAGCTTTCAGTGTTCGTTGGTCACGGTGATGGGATGAACTTCAGAGGCGAATTGGAGGGGTGGTTGAAACTTCGGCACCGAGACGAAATAGAAGAGCGGCCGAGGACGTTCAATTCCGACTTCACGGTTGAGCTAGAGATGGATCAGATGGGAATCTAGTACTAATTCATGTATTACAACGAATTGATTAACTCTGCCACGCAGTTGTTGGTCAGGCAGATCGAGAGGCTTCCACGGCTTCTTCAAGCTTATCACGCGCGAGATGGAGGTCCCAATTGGCTGACGCCAAGGGAACCAACCCTCCAATCACTGCGTAAAGCGACTGTATCTGTGATTCGTGCTGTAACCGGAACGAGCAAGGTGGCGGCAAGTCAGAGCTCAGGATGCAGGTGCTAGGATCGTGGCTATGCATGACTTTGCGAAACGAAACGAAACGTCAACCACTTAAGAGAGCCTTTGCCCCCTCAACTTCGTTTCTCTCTGCCTAGCACACCGTGCGCGCACTGGAACTGGACCTGGACACCTTGAGGACCTATTACGGCGTTTGTTTGAAGATTAATTCAATGAGATAGAGGGAGGTAGTGAATGGGGGGTCGTGATTGTGGCGATGAATTAGGCCAGAGCAAGGCTTGCGAAAGATTCAACGAGCATTGAGGCAGGGCTAGGACATACAAACGACTTTCGCAAACCCCACGTTCTTCAAAAAAAACATGACGCTTATCTTTCTGGGCAGCGACCGGAGGGAGAGGAGGAAGAGATCCTCATCCAAAACTGCACCACCATATCCGGTTGCACAGAATGCGTATTCGTTACCGTCCACAGTTCGTATACCAACTCAAGGCTATCCCGCTCCTCCCATGGGACACGGTAATTCTAGTTATTTGATGAACAGATCTCAACACCCGATATACGGGCCTACCCCCCAGGATTATGGCTTGCCGCCTCCGCAGGTCTATGGCACTTATCCTCGGCAACCTTATGGATCTCCACCTGTACAGCCAGGCCAACCACATATCGGAAACTCTAAAATAAGTTTTACTCCTTCACATGCCCCGAAAGAGAAGGAGGGCCGACTCAAATCATCATGGCACAAAGTCGACAAAATAGCCTCCAAATCCGTCAGCGACTTACGAGGCACTCTGGCATCCGGAGCTGGGAAGAGCAGCACCTGTTTGCAGAATATCACCTCTGATTGTATCGATCATTCAACGAGTCTATTGAGCAAGACGAGCACGCAATGTCTAAATCAAGGGGCCGCTCTGTGCGATATTATTAGCTCGAAACTGGATGCCGTAATTACGAGTATGGATGTGGAACGTTTTAGTGGAGATGAGCGGGATTTGATGGTTCAGCAAGCCTCATCTGCTTATTCTTCGAGTTCAACATTACAGGTGGAGGTCCCGAGGGGAAGAGCAGCCAACCCGGTGTATCCGAGCTCGACGACCGAGAAGGCTTCGAATCATTTTTCGAAGGTCTGGCTGTATGCAAATTCCAGACTCCCACCTCATCTACCTCCCTTTAAAGTGTATGTCCATCTTTCTCCCTTTACGAGGTGTTTAGGGCTTATTTATAACAGCTATATGCCAACATACCCTCTTCTCTGCCTAGCAGCGACCTATTCCCTCCGCGTCTACACTCCCCCAGCTCCCCGTACTGCAGAACAGGAAACCCATGTTCCCTCAGACTGGAGGTCTGGTACAAAAGCCATGGTGCTCAAATCCATTCCAATCGACGACATGAACATCGTCGTCTTCGCCATCCGTGGCTCGCAAACCTTCATGGATTGGGCAGTAAACTTCCGACCCGCTCCCTCCTCTCCTTCAGGCTTCCTCGACGATGAAGGAAATCTCTGTCATTCTGGGTTCTTGCATGTCGCTCGACAGATGGTAAAACCCGTCGCCGAACGCTTGAAAGCGCTCCTCCAAGAAAACCCTAGCAGAAGCAACTGCTCTCTCCTAATAACAGGACACTCCGCTGGCGGAGCCGTTGCCGCTCTTCTCTACGCCCACATGATGTCGACGCAGGTGAAATCGGACCTAAACCACCTCACCGGATTCTTCAAACGCGTGCACTGCATCACCTTCGGCGCCCCTCCAATCAGCCTCCTCCCACTCCGACATCCGACCAACAGGCGGCACCGAAAAAGTTTGTTTTATAGCTTTATTAACGAGGGTGATCCGGTGCCTAGAGCAGATAAGCAGGTCGTACGCTCGCTGCTGAAACTCTACGCTTCCCCTGCTCCAAGCTCGGGCTCAGCGTGCAGTACCGCCCTCGCCTCGCTATCAAAACTAAATCTCTCGTCCACAAACTCCTTTCAAACAACCTCCACCTCCTCCGCCTCCTCCAGACCCTCCAAGTTCTCTATTTCTAGCTCCAAAAATTCTAAGACTTCTGCCGCCGATAGTGTGGCGAGCCAACCTGTGTGGAATGTCCCGGCAAGCACACTAAGCACGGCTGGCAGGCTTGTTGTGCTAAGGAAGAGGGTTGGAGGGAGTTCTGAAGAGGATATTGAGGCTGTGACTGTCGATGATGAGTTATTGAGGGACGTGGTGTTTGGGGACCCGTTGAAGCATATGATGACTTTGTATAAGAGTCGCGTGGAGCTGCTTGCTACAAGGGCGGCTACTGCGAGGGGGTATTAGGGGGTTTGGATATGCTGGTTTGTTAGGTGGGGTTCTGCTATTTGGGGAGTTAGGGGGATTGGGGCTGTTCTGGAGGGGATTGCGATTTCTTAGGCAGAGGATAGCAAGAGAAGAAAATGGAGAGGATTTGGAGAAGAGTATAGATACCCTAGTATTTCATGTTCTGAATTTCCTTGAGGGCCATTCTGTTGAAGATTCTTGGTTGGATTGTTGGACGTCAGTTTCCCTTCTTGTCTGTTCCCTCTTAGACTTTGGCATTTTAGATTACCATGTACGGATATGTTGAACGAATCTATATGTTTAGCTAAAGTTGCCGTACCTAAAATATCCAACCCCTATGTTCACTTCCTGCTAGAAAACATGCAATCCTAGGATGCCTGGTTGTCGTAAACTCCATTTATCATTAACTACCTAGGTATAATGTAGAGGTTGAGGAAGGGAGACCATCAGTGGGTCAGTGAGTGCCAATGCAGATCATGAAGGATGAGCTGAGAAAGGTCAACCTGCAACTCGAATCCTGACGTACATAACGGAGGTCCAACATAATAGTCAATCATCAAATCTGGTATATCTAGATGGTGCATAGGGAATCGCGTTTGAAAAACTTAATGGTGAGACCGCACATCATTCTATACCTATGAAAGCGGTCTATCCGTCAGGTTCCTACATGTGCAAAGACTATGCCAAGGCCGCACTATGCCCAAGAAACTAGCCCCTTCCTTGTGTCTCCTCTACTTTACCACTCAATCTCGCCACAATTGTTCTTCTAATCTCACATAAAGCCTGCCGAGATCAAATTTGCGGCCATCAATAAGGCAAAGAGAATATAGAAAGAGCTCAACCAAAGTGACCACGCTTCCAACCATTCCATATATCGATATTCACTGTCAACTATTCACTTCCAATCTAAGAAGAAATCATCACATCAACCTCCTCCTCGCTCTTTTCTATATTATGATACCGGTTCAACCTGGTCGGAATTATTCCTTGTCTTCAGTGTGAGACGATCTGCTCCATGATTCTATAATTCAAACCAGAACGAAACGAACAAGACTTCAGAGAAATTGAATAGCTTACTACCTCTCAGCGTGCTTAGAATAACCTAGAAGACATTATTGGCAAATTTGATTGAGTAGGATATAGCGAAAATAAAGAGGGTGGTCCAGCTTGTGGTGGTACACAGCGAAGCCAACATTGTAGAGGCCGTAGGATTCTAGAAACAACTTGCCACTCAACACCTTGACTTCACCCGTGGGAGAGTGGAGATCAATGAAAGCACTGGTCCATATCATCACGTTTGAGACTTCTTCGAGGGCCCCTACCGCGCCCTACCTCACTCATACACCCCGCAAACACCAAAAACAGTCTGCATACATATTTGGTTCTACCAGCCGTGAGATAACGCATTCATACATCTCACCTAACGATTTGTAGTATATGCAATTAGATTCGCGGCCTTTCCCAGGGAAGAGGATTGAGAGTTACCAGAAAGCAGCCTCAACGCCCTATTAAGACGTCAAGACCTAATTGGTAGCTTGGAAATTTCGTCTGTGGAGGTGAGTAAACTCCCCTTGAAGCATCATCGACCAATACCTCTTCAGGTTTTCAGGACCTTTCAACAACAATCTATGGTCCTTAATGAGCTCTTGGTACTCTCAAGAGATGATCATTCTTCTATGCCGTTGCAATGGCGCAGGCACCAATTCATCTTCCATGCCTTCAACCACCAGATTCTAGAAATTGTAGTCACACCAATAAAGCTCTTAAGGAGAGCAGAGTTTTGGATCAACAGCAAAACTTCGAACAGGATCATGACGCCTGCCATGTTGTTGAAAGTTTCATATAGTGCTCTTAGGATATGCGAACTAACAGCGAGGATCTCACGGGATTCTAGCGCTACAAAGTTCTTCCCGTATTCCAACGCCGCTTCAATTTTCTCTCCGAGTTAGAAACAACTTTCCACGAAGGCTTGAATGCAAATACTAGGCAAATTGATAGAGCGTAGTCTCCGAGTGCAATATACGGCACACAAATACGGTCGCCCAGCTGAACAAGTCCGGCACCCCGAGGGAGAAAGAGCGAGCATAAAGGAATGCTACCCTAAGGTCTAAACCGGATTGGTTTCGAGCATCAAGCCTTTGTCTAGTGACGGGATGGGACGGCGTGCTGGTGAAACATCACTGTGCCCTAAATAGGTGTTGCATTATTTGAATAGCTGGAGCTTCGGATTACTTGATTCATTAGGAAGGCGCTTCCCTCATGTTTACGATCCCCCCAATCTGCTTATAATCTCTCTTTTCGTCTCAGAACAGGCAGGCAGCATTCGGAGAATTGTCTATCAAGTTTCGACCTCAGTATTCTTTGTTCCAGACTGACCAAAATTCAGTGTATAGTCTACCAAGTTTCGACCTCAAAATTATTGGTTCAGGGCTGAACTACTTCCCTCTGGTCCCTAGATAGCTTGTCCACTTCCACTTTCATTTCGACTACAAATAAAGACATATCGACTCCTGGCTCCATAGGACACTCGTCGACACATGCTCAAATCCCAACCAGCCCATTTTTAGTTAAACCACCTGCAATCCCTTTCCCCTATTATTTGTACATGCTTTTCTCGATTATACTCATTTCAGCATCGCAGAAGTCGGCTCACACACATAACATCGGGCGCAGTGACAAGCAGATCTTCGAATTCACGGAAAGGAGCCAGTTTTCCATCATTGTCACCATCAAGGCTATATGCTCTCAAGGCAACTTCCTTTGCTTCTAGAGAGTGCCTCTTTCGTCTTGCATTGTCCAGTCGTGGCTTCTTCTGTGGAGGTCTGATAGCGAACTAGTATTCGCTTCTCAGGAAAGCATAAATAGCGAAACGAAGCACGCGGATAGATGTAGGGTTTTGCGTTATTCTCCGTTCCACAGTCAAGTTTTCAAACGCTTAAACTAATCAGGAATGCTCTCCAAGTTACTCAACTCATATCGTTTCCCATTTCCATTCCCCTGCTTCCTCACCCTCCTCGTCTTGTCGATATTACCACCCGTCTACATCACCCCTAGCAACTATGTACAACCCTCCACCCTTGCACCGGCACTGCCGGTGGATTAACCTGCAAAAAGTCCCAGTAATTCGCATACCCCTGTCCCGGTGCCGCCATCCCCATCTGAAACGTCATCGTCTCACTGCAAGGCTCCTCTCCCACGACAACAACACCACCATTCTGCCTTACCTCAAATATCGCGTCAGCTGCTCCATTCACACTGCCGAAAACAGTTGTTTGACTCTTGTTATTCGGAGCGAAGGAGAATGTATTCCAAGTTGCATTTGAACTAGGAGCACGAGCGACGCGGTAAACATTCATAACCGGTGAGACCCCGAAGATCCGTAGCATGCTGTTGGAAGGGAGCACGAGTTCGAGCCGGCAGACGGATGACGAATTGGGCATGTTTTGGAATTGGACTTGCGTGGCCCATTGGCGATCGTCGTTTTCTTGTCGCATTGTCATGAGGAAGAGGCCAGGGCGGAAGTCGAGTTCCGGGAACTGGGAGGACATGAGGCGGAGCTCTGTTGGGTATTCGGTTTCACAGGTGGAGCGGATCGAGGGGGAGGTGGCGTTAGTAGCGGGTGTAGTTGGGTATGGGGGTGGACAGTTGAGTGTTGGTGAGAGGAAAGTAAGGAGCGTGAGGATGATGGTGAGCATCTCGAAGGATTGCAGGTCCTTCATATCGTTAGTTTAGGCATTCTAGAGCAGATTTAGGGGAGCGAAGGGACCTGCGTTATTTTTTTTATTTTCTCCAGGGATGGACCCGTCAAGGTGTACTTCCTTCTAGTGGGATTGCCGTAGCAGATGCTTCAAAAGGTGGAGATATAGGTATAACCAATTTCAATAATGAGGAATAGGACTACCAGGGTGAAGCAAGAGGAAGGGTAAAGGTCAGGACAGCAGCGGGAGATTGTAAGGAGAGAACATGGGTAGTCCATGCCTACCTCAGGGCATCACGTGGGCACCCACATTTACGATAATACGGCAAGAGCGGACCATATTACTCTGAAGGGAAGTGTCTTCGATGCGAGAGAGAAAGAGTTGATGACATAAGCCGGCTCATGAGCTACTCATACCTTCACATCCAAATCTTCCGTCACACCCCCGACAACAAACTTAATGCTAAGGGCTCGCAGGGTAATATCACGCTTGTCATGGAAGGCGTGCTGGTCCAAATCCTCGCCACATGCAGGTTGATCCGCCATGAAACTTCTCCCTTCATCTTTCCATTTATCGCCCACTTCCACGTTAATCTAGAGCCTCGGGAATGGCCACTGATACGAGCCCGAGGATCCTCAAGGAGCAGAAGCGCAGTCTTATTAAGGTGTTAGTCGAAAGGCCTCCAGTTGTTGAAACAGCAATTATGCCGATTTCCCGCGATTGGAAAGAACACCAAGACATCCTTCCACTCACTGAGTCACCCCATCTTTTCAACTTAATCCAGAAGCCCACGTTGGCAATGAGGGAGTTTCTTTAGCTGAGGCGGAGAGAGCAACCTGCCTAATCTGCTCTGCGACTTCGGCGAAACGTGCCAAGGGGGGGAGAAAGGGTTTATGTTTAGAAAGCCGCTAAATCTGAAGTTGATTCGCAGAAATAATGCTATACGGTATGAAGCTCTTCTTCATGAAGGACTTGATCTGAGGATCGGGTTTTTCAAGACACAGGATGAGATGTGGGTGGATGGGGGATGTAGAGGGAATTGCGGAGTAGGAGTGAATGGTCAACGTGGATAACAAAAGGTATACGATATACGCCTATCGTGTAGAGATTGTTGACTTCTGTTGGAATTTGGGTGTTCACAAACATGACCTTGGAACGAAGATGGCTTACTCTGTGCAATATTTTTAAATCAGCATTGTCCAAAATTTGTCATACTAATTATGTTACTCATTGCCTAGGTCATTTAACTAACGAACCGTGATTCATTCTTCTGTCTGTTCAAGAGTCTACACCCTCCCCTTCCCTCTCCCTCCTCTCTTCCCCTCCTCCCAGTGCGGTCGAGGAAGAGGCGAGAAACACCGTTGTATTGGGGTCCCTGGCCACCTGGCGAATAGGTATCACCCTTGAAACCATAGGTTAAGAGATGACTCAACCCGTCCACTTCGATTTATTCTAGCTCGGTTTTCTTGGGTTTCCTCCCGAAAATAACAGACCGCCTGTAAGACAGCGAAGCTTTAGATCTGGGTTAAAGATATGCAGGCAAATATCGAGGTTCATCAGCTCGTTACCGTTATACATTTCAGGAGGTGGTCCTCCGTCCCAGAGTGGATACGGACTGAAGTCTCTGGTTTGTGTCAAGCCATTCTCATCAAGAAAAATTCTACTACATTTCAAGCGTTTTCTCTAGACGGGCCAGATGCCACTGCTTTCTCAGCTTAGGGGGAACTCTGGGGACTGCTCAGCTGAAGCGTTGCATTACTCTCAGTACCACTCGATGCAGCACGGTCTCCAGCCTAAGAGGTCAACAGAGGGCTTCTTATCTGAGTATTCGCTCCTTTGTCATTCAAACCAGCACGAGCAGCATCTAGGGAAACACAACTCTTCTAGTTATGTTACCCACTGGGAGGCCCGAACGTGGGAGGTGGCCAGTAGAGAGGTTCGTGTTCTTGCACTGGCCGTTTACGCTTGTGATTCCGCATCTTCTTGTCTGCGGAGGCTGCCCAGACTCCGCCCTGTCTCTCCAAACTCTAGGTCACGACGTCCTCCTACAAACCTTAAGGTTTTCTACCTATTTCTCTGGTGTTAAATTCGCCAAGTATCTCGCATCTCCCCGTGCTCTCCATTCTCCTTGTCAGCCCAGCCCCCGATCCACTCATTCCCTACATAGTCTCCCACACTCTTGACCTTTTCTCCCTCAAGCCACTCCTTCAAGACTACAGTTTTTTCATCCACGTCTTTACATAGTCTCAACCTTCATAATTCCTCGTATGGCACAAATCTATCATCGTTTTTTCCATAACCCCACGTAATGGTATTCCACTCAGCCACTACCAAGCATCTATACTGGACCAGGCAACGCTCACCCACGTCCTCTCCCCAGCGTAGGTGCAGACTCTCTCTCCTCTTCAAGCCCATTAATACATCCAGCATCTGGCTCATCACCATCCACCCATTTCAAGAAGATAAGCCGCGATAAAGAGTCGTATTATCTTGCGCCTACGAGCAACAAATTTTTGCAACATTCGTCTTCACATTTGGAGTCTGAGAACCGGGTTTGGGGTGGATGAATACCAGAAAGGTTCAGAAATCCGATGTCAGGTATTGTGGCATTTTCAAGGACAATTACACCGTCTTTGGATGGAGTACTGTAAATATAGCTGTCTGGTATGTCAAATCTGATTCGTCTGGTTATGTCTTTGGTGGGATCGTAGAGATGCCATAGTCCGGGAATTGTGCGCATTGACGGTCGGGAACTTGGGCTGCCGACTGGAAACATGCTTTTGGGAGTATTGGTTGTGAGGAAAGAGTAGCTTGCGGAAGCACGGCGGTAAGTAGCGCTCAAGGTATTGAATACAAATTGCTCTTGCGTCTGTTAAGAATGTATCGGAAAAAGCAAGTGAGACCGAAGTACTGACATGACGAGGCCCGAGTTAATGGCTGTAGTGATGAGTTTCGCTTCATCAACCACGTCGGTGCTATAGACACGCCACGAAGCAGAAGAAGCCACTCGTCCCGTGACGTCGTGAAGGAGCTGCATATTTCCTATAATAACTCGCTATTCCCACGTGTAAAGAATAAATCCAGGGCTTAAATAGTACGACAATCTTGTTAGAAGATCATATGGCATCAAACATTACATTTCTACTTTGCTATTTTTAATCTAGTGACGGGCCAGATTCATTGGTTAGGCAGTACAAGAGAGGCTGTTCACATACGTTGAGGGAAGTCCCGCTAGATAGTTACTATCTCTAGTAGGGAACCGGCTACTAAAAGCTAACTATTCACCGAATCGAGTTAGCACTAGCGAACCTCATCCAATCAGCAGCAATGTTAAGTTGAGCGAGCTTCAAACATTCCACATTGAAAGCTTCCATCACTCAAGCTGAAGCTAATTCAAAACTGCCCTGTTTGTTTTCTGATTCGCTTATAAATTTACAAGATAATTTGTAGACGGAGGAGAAGCTTGCTTTCAAATTGAGCGACGGGATACCCTCATCCTAGATCCTGGGCTCTCCATTTTAATGCGACGAATATATAGAGACGTTTTCGGTGTCGGAAAAATGGAGAGCGCATGTAATACTAATTGAAATCTAATATGTACTATAAATATCTTTTTTGAGGAACACGAAATAAGATAAGGAAATGTAGAAAGCTCTCTAGCGATATCAACCGCTCCTGGAACAGCAATTGTACCTGTCGTCCTGCCTAATAGCCCCGGAGGGCTCAATTTTGAATTATGTGCAACCAACCCCCGAATCTTTACGTCCAAGGTTCCAGCACTCTTCTCACAATATTTCGCAGTCTCCTAGGGACGAGAGCTGATCCTTGACAACATTGCGCGATTTTCTGGCAACACTGTCAGCTATCGAGCTGAATTTCAGGTTTCCTGCAAGCCACACTAGATTCGCAAATCCTCGGCCTTATCGGCAACACCCAAGAGCCGGCCCCAGATCCATCTTAAAAGTTCTCTCATTCGCTGCCCTATCTTGTAGACTCGCTCTCAATGTTTCTGTGCAACTGTTTGGTGGCAGTGCTTTAGAGTTTTGTTACGAGAATAAGCCATGAACTGCACCGGTGAGAGAATTTTCCCTGTTGCATCAGCCCACTCATTTGGGCTCCCGGGAAATGCTGTGGCCAGGAAGATGAACAGGGGAGGAGGTCTGCCTTAGACGCATGGAGAAGTGAAGGTGCAGAAATTAACAATGAAATGGTGTCGCTGCAGCCTCAATGGCCAGGATTTTGAGGCACGGGATATGTCTGCAGGCAGGTGCAATGTGCGACCACGATAAATGAACGCCCAGCTCAGCCATGGGCTTGGCAGCAAGCTCGAGCGAGATCATTGGAGTGCATCTTGATTAGGCCAGTGTATATACTATTGATGTCGGTGAGAACTCAACGTAATGCAACCGTGGTCGGTCATGGAAAAATATGTCGTGAAATTATGGAGTAATCACTTACGATCTGAGGGTGTCCAGCATCGCTGGGCTCTGATTGCCTATTGATGGTTAGAAGACAAGTTTCAGAAGGAGATACTTCTCGTTTTCTGGGCTGTGTTGAAAGAGCCGGAAGCTTCGCCAAAAAGGGAACGACGGCACGGCAGCTTTCCACAACCACAACTAGTACCAATATCGGAGTGGGAAATTCCGGTGAGGCAGAATATGTGGGCTTATTGTTGTTCGGAGTCAACGTTTTATTATGAAGGGGTCCAATGGAAGCAGCGAGTGGTCAAGCCTTTGACACGGTCATGCTTTGACACACTCACGGATGGGTGCTCGGATGTGGAGTGAGCGGAGAAGAGGCGGAGAGAGCTTGACACGCAGGTATGCCGCCGATGTGTTCCATTTCCATCTAGAACCTGGTTCAACAACGCGTCCGCGCTGAAAAGCTAGGGTGCCATGGCATGTTGCCGTAAAATTCTACAATACCTCAATGATTAAGAAATTGGATATTTCTCAACTTGGTACGATTGAGGCAGATAGTGTATGAATTACGCTGCTTGTTGTTGGCGCCGCCGTTCTCTCTAGACAAAGCGTAGTCGAGCAGCGTTTGAGTTTACCGTGTTGGTGTGCAGTAGAATCGCTGATTCTGGGCTTTAGAGTTGTAATCTTTAAAATTCGGGCACAGGTGGTTCTGGCATCAGCCGTAGTGATTGGATAGGAGCGTAAGCCTCGGACGCTGTCCGGGCGGTTGACCTTTTGTGAACGCCAGCAGAGCCGAGCCAATCCGCTTACTATGTTCTTTCTAAAAATCCTTGGAGCTTTCAATCTTCGTCTTGTGTTCGACCACCAACTGATCTGCCAACAAATTCCGATGTCACTTGTTCTGATGTTCACATTCCCAAGACGCCTTGGGATAGTACAGGTTAGAGTCAGATCCGAGCTAAGTCGGCCTTATACATCTAGAGTCCAGTTTGATCCTGATAGCCTTGAGACCGAAAGAACGACAGCAGATGATCAATGGAATGGAGCGTTGGGTCGGAAACAGGCTCCTACTTGTTGTAGGACTGGGGTTTGGTGAGTTCATCGGGGGATTGATCCTGCCGTTCCTCGTTCACTTCTTCCTTTCATCTGCACACGCGATTGAAACGGTGGCCTTACCTACGACGAGCTGACCCAGAAAGTGCGGACGGTCCAGGGTGCCCCCACTAGGAATCGCGTCGACGGGGACATCGTTGAGCTTGTGGCATTGCTCGTTGGGATTCCGGCAGCTTTAGCAGGCGTCATAATAGTCTCGGAGTCTATCAGGCGGTGGTACCAAACTCGCAACGGTAAGCAACGCTTTCACCTACGGGGAGTTATGAGGTTGCGCTGCTGGAAGCGAATAGTACGAACGAACCGATCGGCATACAATCCTAGGCCTCGGAATGATGGATTGGACCATTTCTCAGGTGCCATGGGGAAGAGGGGTGAGTTGGCCCATTGGTCGTGGAGTCAACCTTCAAAACAAGAGCAACGAGGCAGCGACAGTGACCGGAGCATAGGTCATAAATCACTATCAATGACTTCAGACTGACGCAAAATGCAGATAGGGCGAATAATACGACCCAGCGGAACAGCACAACTGCTCTTGATATTCCTGGAGGTATGTCAGCCAGCACGTAATATTGCAAGAGTATTTTGGAGCTGATGAAGTTGCAGAACCTACTCTTAGAGAAAGTGCACCACCTCTCAGAATCGATGACAGTGTCTCGGAATCCATACGGAGTCCGAGCCGTACATTCTATCCATCATGGAGAGGATCTAGGTCATATGCGAGACCTAACCTGGTGGGCTCGACGCCAACTATCGCTGAAGCGACAATAGAACGACATGACCATAGCCAGGAGTTAAACGATATGGTGGACCATGTTCAACAAGAACGTAGCACATGGCTGGAAGAATTAGAGCGTGAAACTACACCTCTCGCAGATTGGTGATAGGCATTCAGAGGGGTGCGAATCTGAAGAGAACGTTAGTGGCTGGAGATGCAGAGACAGCAAGGCCCTCTAATTCAAATGAAGGAATGGGACAATAGTAACGTTGGTTGCTAGACACTTAGTGTAATGAAACTATTTGAAAAGAACCTGAAGAGGTACGAAGGGAAATATGTGATGTGACATTGCCACGGTAAGAAAAGGCAGAAGAAGGTAGCAGAAGAAGGACACGGGGCATGGGTTTATCAAGGAGGACGACGAATTCTTGCCGCACAACCGAAAGTCCTCCAGGTTTTCTTGGCGCTTAGGCCACCTGAAGGAGGACGGCGTGGGAAGTGACGAATCAGCGTGCGTTTTAACGTCGAGTGGAGGACTGATCATCAGGGAGGAAGCCAATGGCTTTCTGCTTCGCTGCAAATTGCGCAGTCCACCTCAAGCGAACCAACCAACGGAACACTAGTTGTGCTCGCTATTACGGTGTAATTGTCCTGGAAGCACGGTCCTCCGTAGCGCTAATAACAAAAGTCCTCCGGCTCATCGCGCAAAATCGCGCCCAGTGTGAGATCGTGAGGCGAGCTCGACTCCCTTGTTCAGCTGGCCGGCCTCGGAGGGCTGCATATCTTCGTTGCCTTGCAGGCACACTTGAAGCCCTATTCAGATAGTGCCCAATGTGCCAACTGGTCTAGAGGACTGCTTTTCCGCCGAGGGTTGGGTGTCAACCGAATAATATGGTGAACAATATCTCTCTTTGGCTATTCCAGAGTCTTTAATTAGTGCTAGGGGGCGTGAATTCTGCATCGAATGGGAGATAAGAGACGGGTAACAACACAGCTGTCATAGTGTAACATACCTAGGTAAGGCTGACCCCATAACTCAATCTTGTGTTTGTCGAGATCAAAAGGCCCATAACTTGCGTCTAGTCGTATAAACGTTCTCAGGACATGATGCTAGCATACTTGAGGGAATTTCTTTCGATGCCAACACGCTAAGTCGGCATCATATGCACAAGAAGTTAGGTATTGCCTCAAATCTCAAGCCGATGGGAGAATTAAAAAAGTTGAAAATACTTGAATAATTTCAAGAAAAATCCCTGACATAGGATAAAGCCACTTGGTAAGTTGCGCTATGAGTGTATATCAACAATGTTTCATGCTCGTAGCGTTCGCAATACTGGTCTTAAAGGGCAATGGCGAACTGACTCGCGATCTAGCACAAGGCGACACCGAATGAGGACGAAACAATAAGTCCGAGGAGAGCAAAGCAATCCACATTCAATATCGGAACATAGAATTTCTCATGCACAACGGAACATCTTTAAGGACTATTCTATTTCGCCAGTTGCTAGAATAAAAACGCTTTTTAAGAAATGGAATCGCCCCGTGAGACGGCATGCAGCATGTTAGCACAAAAGCAAAATGGTTTAAAACTTTCGAACCTCTCCCCAGAATTGGGAACAACTTTAATATAACGCAAGAATTTAGCACAAACTACATATCTTATTGCGTCGAATGTGCTAGCATGCAAACGCCCGTGTTCCTTGAAAGTTTAGTAAAAGTACAATGCCAAGACAAAGGCTGCTCCCGCCACGGAGTGCCTCGTGATTATAACAAGGGCCCCTACAGCACACCACAATAGATATGCGGCCTAGAGTTATTTCAAAGCTCTCCAGGTAGGTTTCCTACGTGACTACTCAAGAGGCGGTCAATTTACGATGGATAACGCCCCTCTCAATACAGCCATTAGCACGAGGGAAATTTTGATAGAGCAACATATTAATGTTATACGACGGCTGTCCTGCTTATTAGATCTTAAACATATTAACTATATGTAGTAGATCTTAAATAGGATTCTCCGTAAGCCCTACCCTCGTCTTTTTAGCGATTAGAGCCTCCTCAGGGGCAGTGTGTCCAACCGTTAGTTACAGAGCCTTTTAGAGGTTGTATAGTACAGTTACAGAAGAGTCAGCTATTACTAACTAACTGTACAGAGGAGATAACGTCAGTGTACAGTTTAGATACAGTAACTAAAGTATTATAAAGTAATTGCGCTAAAGCTAAAGACTATACCTAATTAGGAAGTTGTAATACCCCTTGTAAGATCTACAGTTATTAATCTTACTAGTAACAGTAATGTTATGTAACTAATTCTTCTGCAGTTAAGAAGCCTTTATTATTAACACTAATAGTTAATTCCTTTTTATTATAATAGTCTTCTTAGCCTATAAGAAGCACTGCTTGCACTTACATAAGGTTACTAAGTGTAACGATTCTCATGAATCGTTCCATCTCGGGTCGCCCGGAACCTATCCGAAGGGTCTCCGTATCGGCTCCGACCCTGGTTCGACCCTGACTCGACTCTGCCCGGCCCCCTGCTGTTACCCCTATTCCCTCATGTATTTAGTCGCACCTCGCCCCGTAGCTAGCTCGGTAGTTTTCTGATATCCTTTCGTACAAGGCCTATAGGTGTCAATGGCATTCCCAGGTTCAGAGTCCCCACGCACTCCCATATGCCTCTGAGTGGATTCCCACCGCATTCGGACCCATTGTCTTGCCTGCGCCGTTACACTAAGATTAATAAGAAATTAAGGGCAATGTTAATCTTAAAGGCAATTCTAATGTTATAGCAGGCATTATTTAGGTGCTCCTTAGCCTAGGTATCTTACATATGCTTTAAGGGAGTCGCTTCACACAAGGACAGCCTAGATAGGCCAGGTAAGGCCATACAGGCCTTCTCTAAGCGTTAGGATAAGGCAGCATGATATATCTAGGTGGCAGAACAGCTAGATAAGGCATGTAAGGATAAGGCCCGCGAGGATAGGGCCTGCAAGGTAGTAACACGCTAAGATAACTACATTATTAATTAGGATAGAAATTAGGACATTATAATAGGCAAAAGAATAAAGTAGATAGCATAGTTGTTAAATTTGTTAGAAGATTGCTAACAAAACAGGCACTAACAGCATTCTCCGCATTAATCTCTAAACACAAGCCCCCTAGCCCTTAGCAACCTGCCTTTAACTGCCTAAAACTACTAAAAATCCTATATAACTACTGTAAACAGTTAGTACAGCAGCCTCATGTATAGTACAGTATACTGAGTAGATGCCCTGTACGTACGTACGTGACCAAAATCGCTGTACTACAGTACTGTACTATTAGGTGTACTAACGGTTGGACACACTGCTCAGGGGAGTGGGATGAGTTCTGCGCAGCATTGAAGGTAGCATAAAGGAGGAGCCCTAATTCATTAATACACTTCCCAACCCGAAGAGCGGGTCCGCTCAGCCATGATTAGACCTGTGAAATAGCCCGAAGAAATCCGGATGAGCCTTCTGGAAGCTGTCCTCATTCGCCGTACCACTCCTCTGACCCTCATCATCGACATAAGATGGGTCCTCCCTCCATAAACCCTTCCACTGAAATAGATCAACTACAATCCTCCCAGCCCCTTCCATCCACTCCTTTATTGGTGCACCAATTTAGCAAGTGCACAAATGCTCGTTCTGCCTCAATGTTCTTTCAACAAAAGTCAATTAATCAGGGCTTTCTGTGATCCTATCGATAATCTTGCTCTCCCATGCTTGTCAAGCAGTCTCCCAATCGCAAGAAGCCCAGTAAAGAGCCGATTAATTCGCGATATAAGCGCTGGGATACCGCAATGAACGTCATGAGTGAATTTTTAATGGTTGTAGCGCACTAAAGAAGTCTCTGATGGGTTTGAATCCAGCAAAGGTTTGGTGCGGAAAAGCATGTTCACAACTTCATTTTTCCAAATGAATATCGGAATTTGAACTATTTTGGATACGGGAGATGAGCCAATGAGCCATTACAGGAGTGCATACCGATTCTGTCATCCACTATACGGTGAATACCCAAAAGCATCGATTCCGAAACTATAAGCAGACGCAAAGACCTCTCCTGGGCCACTATATGCTCCCTGGGCATGATGTTAGCTATCATTTTACTAGAGGCGATTACATCATAGAGTCCTAAAACCGGTAGTAGAGAAGCTACTATGTATAAAAGCTAGAAGGTAGTCCCAGTCGCCTCAAACCGTGAGCATTTCCTGCCATACGAGTAGTTGTTTCCATCAACGAAACCCTAGATGAGTTGAATATCTGATATGTTCTAATGGGAATTAGAATTTTCGACTGTCTATGCAGGTAATTTTGATTCTGTAGAATAAATAGCTGCAATTACACTTAAGATCTTCAAGCCACCTAACAAAGATGTAGATTAGTCGGAATGTATTCAAATACAGTATCTTTCATCCGAGCTCTAACACCGATCGACAGACATGGGTATATATTGAACAAAGCGATGTCTGGAATCCTGACGACGATTGCTCTCTTGAAATTTCGTCAGTAGTGTCAAATACCGGCACTAAGTAAATAGACCATCGATACATGAATAATTATTCCATATATGGCCTTGGCCTGTGCCCACTGTATCTAGCAAATAGCACGTGTATTAGTTGTATATATCAGCCACTTCGGAATTACTTACATATAGTTGAAAAGCGTTGAGTGTATTTTGGTAGATTATGCTCCGGAATCTGGGAATAGCTAAGAGTGTCCAACACCTCGAAGAATCGTGTGGTGTTGAAAGCACCAAGACTGAACTGAGCAGGATCGAGTGTCACGATATATGATGTGATACCAACGTTTGGTGAAATGAATCCGACACCGCCGAAGTCTATGATTGCACTAAGCTCGCTCCAGAAGTCGAGCTATCAAGTCTCTTACAGATTTGATTAATCCATTTGTCCAGGTAAGGATCGATATTGTCTTCAATGCTGGTCCGATAGTGGTATTGTGGGATTTATATTCAAGCAGGGGGGCTTTGACGCAGACCCCAAAGTTTGAGCAATGGTGAAAGTCCTTGAGTCAGAAATTGGGTCGACGTTATGAATAACGTTGCTAAAATTGAGATTAGTTGTGTGGGCTGGGTTTTCATGAGACAGACCACGATTAACTCATATCAAGTCGGTCTAGCCAAGTCGTGGGCTACTTGCAAACGAAGAAATTGTGCCAAATTCGACCGTCCTGCTGGTGTCGACACATGGTGTCTGGCTCAATCCAAAGGAGTCGCTCTGCCCAGATTGCTCCATGCTTTAGATCGGGTTTGAGTGGAACAACACGGTTTCGGAAACCAACACCTCCATTTATAAAGAATAGGTGCTACAGCGTCCACGATTACTTCTTGATTGACGCTAGATTCGATATCTCCTTGAAATTCTTACTACCCGATCCACCGTGGAGACTTGGTCATCACTGAAAGGGCCTGTAGCTGCGATAGCTGCGTCGAATTGGTTCGGCAGGATGAGATCTGCTTCTCGGAGGAGCATGTTGTGCAGTGGAACCTCATCCCCGGGTATCTATAGTTGTCCAATATTTCCCATAACCGGGTTTACTAGCTTACACTTCATTAGTGAAGCCCGCATCTTCCGGCCAAAGCCAGCTATTCAGAACCAGCGGCCAATCCAGGCCGTGTAAGAAGCACTATTCTTCCGTCTTTCTTCCAAGACATTTAAAATTACCCAAAACTCCCAATGCTTTGTTAAATTCTTCTTATCAGCCCTAAGTGCAATACCACTCCCCTTCGTCTTCTGCCTCTTGTTTATGTTTATAACATTACCAGTCCAACAAAACCTATACCTTGCCTAAACATTCTCTTGCCATAACTACAAGCATATTGGCGGTGCTATAACCTGCCAGAGCAGAACGGTTTACCAACTGTAATAGTTGGAGAGTTGCCATCGCCTTGGGGTTGTCTCCACCAGCTAGCTACACTTATTGAGCTAACGTCCCTCCTTGCAGGTCGAGAATTCCCTCGCGCCGAGAAATATGAGGAGTACTTCAACTTCAAACAACCCAAACTCTGTGCACATGTTGATATACACTATAGATCTATAGTATTTACCTGCAGTAGCTTTTTCTAGACATTTGAAACATATTTAATCTAAAATTTACAATGCATATTATCGTCTTCGCGCCTAATATGCAGAGAGTCTTATTGTCACGGTTAACTTTGACATGCCTCGGACTCTCCCCGGAGAGCCCTCGTCCCGTCACGTGCCCCAGCACATATATATATATCCTCTCACGAACCTCTGAGTCTCCTCAAGGATTCGTCTATCAATACTATCCTGTACCCTCTTCTGCGCTTCATGCTTCCTGCTTCACAGTGCTCTCACACTTATATTAGAGAAAAACCTAGTTCCTTCCCTGCAACATTATAATTGGGCTCTTGCCACTCTTAAACACTTAAAAAACAATGTTATCTAAAATTTAGAACCTTACTATAATGCTATTAAATCATCTTTAGCCTTGTGTCTACTGTGGTGTGCAAATTCATGCAAGGTCGCCACCCCTGTCAGTACTTCCAACCCTAGCTAGTGTCAGACAACTAAGCGTCGCACGTAATTATCGACGTGTAATTTACACATGTTATCCTGTAAGTTAAGCATTGTGGCTGCAAGCAAGCAGGCCAACCTTAATTTGCACCTTTGGCGGCCATGCCTCCAATCAACCAACTCAATCCTCTAATACCTTCAGAATTCGTCACCCCGCAAGGTTATGGCCGGAGCGGGTCGGCCTCCCTCCCTGCTTGTAGTAGCAAGGCGTTCGTCCACTTCAGTTTGGTCCGTTGCAAATTTGCCTTCTACTACCCCACATGCCAGCCTTATCGCCCCAAATTGGGATGTGCAACCAGCCAAATGATCGCTGGCCAAACCAGTCCGAAGTGTTGCAAGGAGATCCCCAAGATGAAGATAATAGGCCGGTTACTCGAAAACCTGGCTACATTCAGTCTGTAACCCCCTCGGCCAGTGATAACAATGATGGTGGGGACTCCACTAGTAATTTACCAGGAAGCTCCTCCGCAGACCTAATATCTAGTTCTTCGATTGATTCGTTTTCTAAATCGCGGAGGTCTCAGCGCACGCAGAGGGCATATCCTTCTATCTCTGTCAATACTACATCGAATATAGAGATGGAAGTTGGTGACTCTCCTAGGAAGTGGGTATATTGGAGTGTAGATTCAACCAAAACCCGGTTACATGAGATATGCGTGGAGGCGCAAACTGGAGCGAAGCGTGGCCGCGAATTCATAAATGAGCTACTAGAGAGCTATCGCCGGCTTCGGGGAATTCGCTCGTGGCTTTCTCTTACGGACTGCGCGACAGTCAAAATTGTCAAGGTAGGTGAGCTCCAAGAGTACTGAAGTCCAAGCCTTGACTATCTTGCAGTTCATCCGCCTTCTGGACGAAAAGGATCTTGTAAAATGTGGGCCTGAGAAAGTTAACCTTGATGAGATTCGCCGAACACTGGAGTATGATATCAGCACGGGCAGTATCCCGGACGAAGACCTTCATCTGGCGTGGGTAGAGACTACGCTTGCACACTATATCTTACACCACCACAAACATATTACGGACGATAACATTAACGACATCATCTCTGGTCTACCCAAGAAAACCAAAATTTGTGTGGGTAAGAAGGCTCGGTCAGTTGGTTACGGCATCCATGGAGTCTACGGACTTTCACTTACGAAATTTTTCTACCTATTAGCGGTATCTACGGGGATCGGTCTTAGCTTTTTCGTATACTGGCTTGTAAAACATCCGGGAGATATTCAAAACGCTTCAGTCCCGTATTTCATGCTTATGACGGCTGTCGGAGGTTTTATCGCCCTTCCAGATCTCTACATAGGTTAGCGTAGGTAATAGCTAAAATTGGTTCCGTAATTTAGAGGATCAAGTTAGGCCTGGAGGAGGTATAAACGTAAAATGGTTGAAATGCGCTTACAGATGATAATTAAGTAATTTTTGATCTGACATCTTATGTCGCCATCGCTGGCAGGGAGGGCGACCAAACTGCTCAAGCCATAGTGTTGTGCGGTTGCGATTTGAGCATAGTGTTAGATGTGCGATCAGCAGGTTTCATGGTTGGCTTCTGAACTGGAGCAAGCGCCTGATAACAGAATGTACATATGTGGCGCATTGTAACGGCCTATACCCTTGGGGTGCATGGCCATAATAGAACACACACACACGTGCGGTTGCGATTTCGGCGGGGGTCCGCACAGCCACAGGCCGAGCTTTTAATGGGTCTAAGTAAATTACACGAAAAGTCATTAATTACGTAAGGCTCACGGATGGCCTGGATTTCATTACACGTAATTACTGACACTTGTAGCGGCCTTGCGTCAATCTTCGTGCGATAGCAGCCATAACACTAATGGTAGCTTCTAAACACTATAGTAAAGTTTTTATGCTTAGATATAACCAATTTTATAAGTTTTAATAGCAGCAAGAGTATTATAAGAATGCTATTTCAGGAGAAGTCTATTCTATAGTAAAGATATGATGATGTCACGATTGTGCACGAGTAAGGTTATAGAGCTTTACAGAGGTCTAGTTTAATTACTATGTAAGGTATTATAGTAGGTACAAGACGTTGTGTAAGGAACAGAAAGGTTTAAAAAAAAATTAGTAATTAAATACTTAGCTTAAAAGTTTAAGCGCTTTAGGTATAAATTAAGCTTATTTTAAGTTTAGTTAGTGTTAAGGCAGTTTATGCTTAAGTTTATGTTTATGTTATGTTATGTTTATATTAGACATACACTAATAATACTCTAGTACACATCTAATACAGTTATGTCTAGGATTTAGGGAGGATACTATAACAGTACTTTTCTTTTTTATTAGGAAGAGAATCCTTTACATTAGTAGTTCTAGCATTAGGTTATCTTTATTAAGGTATAGGTTTAGTTTAGATAAGTATTAGGTGTAAAATTAAGTTACTATAAAGTTTTTTTATAAAGCTTCTGCAGGTTTCTACAACAGTTTGTTGTATCTAGTCTATTTTATAAAGTATTTATAAATATGTTTTTTTTTATTAAACTAGATCTATTTAATGTCTTTTATAATATATTCTAGTTTATTATTTATAATAATAGGTTTAGGTAGCAGGTTTAGCTGTCTAGGTAGATAGTTAGATTTAAAGGCTACTTAGCACAGCAACAATACATAGAACACAGGGTGTATTTTTATGCTGTTAGGTAGAATTAATTAGTAAGTGTGTAATAAGACTATATAAGCTACTATAAAAGGGCTAAGGTTTTTCTAATTAAGTTTCTTTAATTATTAGTTTATTTAAATATTTCTAGTGTCTAGCTAGACCTTCTTACTAGCTGCATACGCAAAGGTAGAGGTTTAGAATTAGTTTATGTACTTTTATTAAAGAGCTTAAGCCTATATAAGCTTTTTATAAACATATTTAAATATATTTTAGATCTTATTAATAAGTCTATTTATATCTATTACTTATATAAATTAATAAGTTAGTTAGAAGGTATTTAAAAGTAGTTTAAATCTTATTTAAAAGTAGTATCTATAGTTTACTAAGAATAGAGATACTTATGTTAATTTAAATGTTATGTTATTAGCTTTAAACTATGCTATAGCTAACTATTTTACCTAGTTATTTTACTAGTAGTTTATGTACACTTATAGAACTTATTTTATTATAGTGTTTATGTTCTTAGTCTAGCTATTAGTTTTTAAGTAAAAAGCTATAAATAAATAAAGGATAATTTAGAGCTGTTTATAGAGTTTGTCTTAAAAAGCTAAGACAAACTGTGTACCTCTATCTAATATAATTATATTAGGTAGGCTATAGTAAACTTATACATATTAGTAGAATAACTAGGCTATATTAAGGGCAGTTATAAAGAAACATAGTATTAAGTGTTAATACTTAGTTAAGTAATTAATAACTACTATAATATTTATGTACCTTTTAAATAAAAGTAAGTTTATAATAAAATTAATTAATATATTTTTTTAAGCTTATTTAAAGATTAGAAGCAGTTTAAGTAAGCTATTATACTTTTTTTAAAAGGCCTTTACTTTATAGTAAGTATAGCAACATAATATGTATTAGCGTACAGTATAGAACATGTGGGGCTAGTAGTACTCTCTCTGTAGTAGGTTAAGAGTCTTTTTTTTACCTAAGTGTCCTTTAACAGGTAAGTTATGTATAATTTAAAGTAGTTTAATTTTTAGTTTATTAGAATTAAAAATTATAAGTTAGTTATAGTAATACAGCTTACTATTTTAGTTTTTATAGTTAGCTAGTGTTACCTTTTTTAACTAACTAGTGCTGTTTTAAAGCAGGTCTAAAATTTCTTAGATAAATTTATTATTTAAATACTTATTAATAATAATTTAATTAATTATCTAATTTATTTTATTTAAGTTAAGGTCTAAAAATAGCTTAAGTTAAAGTAAAGTTTAGTGTTAAGCCTTTTATACTTTTTTTTAAGCAAAGATGTTTTAGAATTGCTTTATAAAGGCATCTAGTTTCTCTTTATTTTAACTAGAATAATAAGTAATCTTAAAATTAAAATAAAATAAGTATTTAAACTAATAAGCTTATTAGTAGCTAAGTTGTTTTATAGTTACAAAGTACTATAAGTTCTTATAGTTAAATAGGACCTATATTAGATGCACTGCACCTTCTAGTTTAGGTTGCTATTATTTAAAGTAGTGTACTATAGTAAGTAATTTTTTATTATAAATCTTATAATTACTTTTTACAGAACTTATTTTTTTTAAGAAGTATGTAATAGGCCTAATAGTCCTGTCTAGCTTAGTCTAGAAGAGAACTCCTGCTACTATATAGTCTAAGGCATTAGCTTCTATAAGTATTAGTAGTTTAAAGTTAAAGTAGTAGAGTATTAAGGCTTTAGTAAAGGCTTTTTTTAGCTAGTTAAAAAACTGTTAGTAATTTAAGTTAAAGTTAAATTAAATTTTTTTTTTAGTAAGTGTAATTATAAAGCTTACTTACTATAAAAAGTTATTAATAAATTATTAGTAAAAGTTAGTAAATTCTATAAAAGCTTAAACATCTTTTATGTTCTTTAGGTATTACTAATCTAGCATAGTCTAAACCTTAATAGGGTCTATTTAGATGCTATTTATAAAGATTACATATCCTAAATATATAACCTTTAATTAGTAAAACTTACATTTATTTATGTTAAATTACAGACCTACTTTTTTTTATAGCTTTTAGCACTAGGCGTACATGCTGTTTATACTCTAAAAGGCTATTACTATAAATTAGAATATTATTAATATACATAATGTAAAACATATCTAGGTAAGGTTAAAGTAAGTTATTTATAAAATATTAAAAAGTACTAGGCGCGTTAGCTAAGCTAAAGGGCATTACTAAGTACTTAAATAGTCTATATTAAGTCTAAAACACTATTAGCTACTTATTACTTTTTGCTATCTTTAGCTTGTTAAAGGCAGTAATAATATCTAACTTTATAAAATACTTTACTTTACTTAGTTAGCTTAGAGTTTTCTATAAAAAAGAAATTAAGTATTAGTTTTTAATAGTAATAATATTTAGTCTTTAGTAGTTAACATAGAATTAAAGCCTACCTCTAGGTTTCTTTATAAATAGTATAAGTAACACTACTAGTAAAAAGCTAGCTTAAATAAACTTTTTTTTTAAGTTCTTATTAAAGTATTTTTAAAGCACTTTTAATTTATTTAGCAACATTTTATATAGTAGCCTATAACTAAGTTGTTTACTAGGCTTAAAAGTTATTTAGTAATTATATAGACATTATATTAAAAGCTTATTAAACTTATCTTAAAAAAAAACATGTAATAAGTTATAGTAGTTTTAAAAAACTATTATTTTTAAGTTAGTATGTTTTTAAAAAGCTAAAGCTTAGTCTATATTAAAAATTATAACTACATAGATTTTATAATCTAGTTGTTAAGCTAGAGTTATAAATAAGGCAGGTTTTATATAGCAGATGTTTATCTGCTGTTTAAGTCCTAGTTTATGTCTAAATTAAGTAAGTAAAAGTTTTTTAAAAGCTTTTTTTTCTTTAGGTTTAAGCAGTTATTAAATTATTTTATATAGCCTATTTTAGTAAAAGGCCTAGCTTATTAGCTTTACTTAAGTAGTTTTTTTCTAGGTTATAAAAAAGTAGGTCTAAAAACCTTTTATATTAAGTGCTATTTAGGTGTTGTTTAGGTATAAGCATAAGCATACATTTTAGCATTAAAAAGAGTTAAAGTTTAAAACTTACTCTTAGTAATTAAAAGCAATTTTATGCTAATATAGCTATAGTTATTCTAAAATTAAGTTATAATGTCCTATGTTTATTACATAAAGTTTAATCTACTCTTTATAGTGTTAGTAAGTAATTATAATAGTTATAGTATAAAAAATAAAACTTTTTTTAAGTTATTTTTTATTAAATCTAGTTAAGTAAATTATTTAAGTAAGCAGTGTTAATTAAAGATTTAGTTTATACACTAGTTTTTTATTAATATAACTTATGCTATTTACTTCTAAGTTAATAAAAGCTTATATTAAGGCTAATATAGTTCTTTATTATAAATATATAAAAATATTAACTTAGTACTTTTAGTTATTAGTAAAGGACTTAGCTTATAAGTTAGTAAAGATCTAGTATTAAATTAGTCTTAGAGGGTAACTTAGCCCTAAAACAAGCCTTTTTATAGGCTCCTACTACTATAGCTGCAGCTATGTTAAGAGTAGTAAGAAAGATTAAAGCTTAAATATAAGTTAAAGCTTTTATAAAAATAAAATTAAAATAGTAAAAATTTTTAATAAGTGCTAGCAGCACTACTTATATAGACTTAAAAAAAAGAAATAAAGTAGTTTTAAAAGATATAACTATGCTTACTATACTTAAAGTATTAACTTTTTTTTTTATAATCTTTACACTTTCTAGAACTAACTAAAGTATAATTTAAATTAATTTTTATTATGTTAAAGTTCTTATTTGTAACTACACTAGTTTAAGGGTGTATTAAGGCTTATATAAGAAGAAACTTTATATTATTATTATAAGTAGTAATTAAGTTTACATACATGTTAAGGTTGTTTAAAAGGGGTTCTTCTACTATAGCGCGTTGCAGTTTAGTTAAAAGGGAGTTATATAAGGCTATAATTAGACCTATCTTATTTAGGCCTATATTAAATATAAGTTAGCAAAACTTAGTAAAGTGTAAGGTAAAGCTTTTTTTTTTTTATTATAAAGTGTTTAAGTAACTTAGGGCTATTAACTTTTTATTTAAGTTTTTATAAGTTACTTACAGAAATGCTATAAATTAATCTAAGTTAATAATATCTTTATTTATTAGTAAGTTAATTAAGGCTATTATG